AGCTAGTGATGGCAGCATCTGCCCAGCTCTGTATTTATTATTCATATTGCATTAGCACCTCGAGGGCCCAGCATGCTAGGCGCTGGTCATACATAGCAAGGGGCAGTGGCTCTGTCCCAGAGATTCATCATCCAGAGGCAATGCTAGAGGTCACATCGCAGGTCAGTGGCAGAGCCTGGAAGAGAATTCAGATCTCCTGGGTCCCAGGCGACTGCCTTAGCCATGACACCACGTTGCTTTTACTTTCACTGCTCCCATTCTATTGAGCCCTCCTTGGTCCCGCCAGCCATATGGCATTGTCGCCGCTCAGACTTGTGACACCCGTTGTTAGGTAAGCCCAGTCAGCTGTTTAGCTGTAAGTAAATATGTTGCAACTGGATGTCTTTGGATATTGTCCAGACTGAAGCCCTGTCCAAATACCACTGCCGGGAAAAGAAATGTGTTTCTGGAAACCTGCTGATAACCTGCCCTCCCCCATTAACCCTTTCCTGGTTTGCAGTGGTTTGCTTTTACCCAGAGGAAGGAAAAAACAGACTCTAAGATGAGTGATCTCAGTGGGGCTAGGTGGGTTCATACCAGCGGAGGATCTGGCCCAGAGATCTGAATGTCTGGTTCATCAAGGAGGTTAACCTCTAAAAGGCCAGGTACTGGATTATGGGGTTATTGCAGGTGAAGGGCAATAGGTTAAGTGGTGCCTGTGCAAATTGCTGTTTCAAACTTCAAATCCACCAAAGGGATTTTGATACCCATCTGCCATTAAAATGTGTCTGAATCTCCTACGTGGCTTTGAAGATGCCAACCGTCATGTATTGTTTAGGGGCACAGGAACTGCCACACTGGATCAGACATTTCAGAGCCAGGTGCAAGAAACTCTACTGTGGACAATTATAGCCTGCCCAGGGGGGACATTACCTCTTAACACCCATTGCCTTATGTCCTGAAGCAGGACTATCATGTGGCAATGAGTTCCACAGGCTAATTCCACATTATTATTTCCTTTGATCAGTTTTATGTTACCTGACAGTAGCACCCAAAGGCCTTCTTTGTGCTAGGTGCTGTGCAAACATACAGAGCAGGTGTAGATGATGGGTGGCTGAACATGCTGGTGCCCTGTCTTTATTATCACTCCCACCATTGCTACCAGCAGCGTAGATTCCCTAATAGAGTGTAGCGGAGTCCTGGCCTAAGAGACAGTTTCTGCCCCAAAGATTTTACAATCCAAGCGAGTGGGATAGACAGAGAGATCCACCCTTCCGGGGCTCCCTTCACGACTGGGACCGCTTTCCCTACTGAAACAACGAGGAGTACTTGTGGCACCATATAGACTAACAAATTTATTTGGGCCTAAGCTTTCGTGAAGTGGAAAATACCGTAGGAAGATATATATAGCAGTACTGCTATCTTCCTACGGTATTTTCCACTCAGTGCATCTGATGAAGTGGGTTTTAGCCTACGAAAGTTTATGCCCAAATAATTTTGTTAGTCTATATGGTGCCACAAGGACTCCTCATTGTTTTTGCTGGTGCAGACTAACACGGCTCCCACTCTGAAACCTTTCTCTACTGAAACATTTCAGGACTTGCCCAAAGTAAAACAGAGTCAAAAGGCAGAGCCAGGAAGAGAACCCAGGAGTCCTGATTCTTAGCCTGCCCCCCCGTTGTAATCCAGTAGATCCCACTCCCCTCCCAGAGCTAGGAATATAACCCAATTGTCCTGACTCCCAGCCCACCCCTGCTTTAACCCATTTGAACCTATTCCTCATTCACAGCTGGGAGCAGAACCCGGGAGTCCTGACTTCCAGCCCCCCCCTCCATGCTAGGCCTGAACTGTGGTATTGATCAGCGCCCCTCCATTCTGATCTGTGGCCAGCACCTTGGCGTGGAGTAAACACAACCACAGCTTCAGGTCCCTAATTCCAACTCCCCTCCTTGGAAAGACAAATAAACGCTTGTGTCAAGGGAGTGAAGAAAATATCATTTGTTCTGAACTTTTCAGGTTTCCTGGGCTCCTCCCCCCCCACTGACTAACCCACCCAGCTGTGTGCACCAGGGCTCAGCTTACAGGCAACTCCGACGATAAATAGCCCAGGAGGAGCTACTTCTCCTGACCCTCCTGTCCTCACCATGGGGGGCTCTGCTCTCTGCCTGGTGGCCGTGTTTGCTTTCTGCTTCCCGGCTGTTTCTCACAGCCAACTGTAAGTACCCCCGCGCTTCTGCCACGGTGATGGGGATATTACCTGGGTTCGTTACATGGCTGCCAATGGAAACCAAGCTCAATTTTCCTCTCTTCTCTGCTACTGGGTGTGGAGTGGGAACAGGCTGCAGAAATTCTCTTCCTCACCTAGTCCAACCCTCTTCTCCCTCGCTCAGTTCCGAGGCTAATTTTGGGGTTTGGAGGATGGATTTTTTTTTGGAAGATGGATTTTGAGCCTCACTTGATCTTAGTGAACCAGGTATAGACGGGTAGTAACTCCATTGAAAACAATGGGGTTGCACCCCCCTGAAATGCACTGAAATCAGTGGGGTTGTCTTTCCCTTGACTTCAGTGGGCTTTGGATCAGGGCCTAAAAGAGACCAGAATCAGGTTCTACAGGGCCACATCTTGAACTCCTTGCTCAGGTTCTACATTGGCAAGACACCCAGTGGGGCTAAATTCTATTTTCAGTGTATACTGGTGCAAACCTGGAGTAACTCCACTGACTTCAATGGGTAGTTACACAGGTAGTTACACTGGAGTAACTCCACTGGCTAAGGGGATTGCTTATGGTGCATGAGGCAAACGAGAACCCAGTTCACTTCCAAGGGGCTGGTGGGATTCCGAAACACAGTGGTCCACTTCTTGGGCACTGCACTGGGAGTCAGGACTCCTGGGTTCTATTTCCAGCTGTTGGAGGGAATGTGTCTCGGGGGACCAGAAGATGGGAATGGGAGTCAGAACTCCTTGGTTCTACCTGACGCTCTCACAAGGGGGATATCCAGGAGACGCCTGGATTCTAGGAGGGGAATGAAGTCTAGTGGTTAGAGCCGGGTGGTGTGACTAGGAGTCAAAACTGCTGGGCTCTATTCCCAGCTGAATCACTGACTGGCTGTGTGACCTTAAGGAAGTCCCTCCCCTTTTCTGTGCCGGCCTCTCCCTCATCTGTGAAAGGGGGATCATGACACTTACCTACCTCTGTAAAGTACTGCGAGATCTATGTCTGGCGAGTGCTTTGAGCAGGGCCGCCCAGAGGATTCAGGGGGCCTAGGACAAAGCAATTTCAGGGGCCCCTTCCATAAAAAAAAAGTTGCAATACTATAGAATACTATATTCTCGTGGGGGCCCTTCTGGGGCCAGGGGCCTGGGGCAAATTGCCCCACTTGCCCCCCCTGCCCCGGGCGGCCCTGGCTTTGAGTGTGACCCCGGGGCTAAGCTTCTATTGTCCCTCTGACTGATTGGCTGCCTGGCATGGTTACAGCCTCCCGGCCTGTTCATATCTGTGCTGGGGTGGCCAGATGAACAGCCAAGAGCCAGACCAATAGCCCATGTGCTTGGCCCTAAAGCTGGGAAGGGATCTTGGTGCAAGGGACTGGCAGCGATAAAAGGGAGGAGGCAGGAACAGGTAGTTTGGTTTGATTTTGTGCTGCCCCCTATGGCCAGGCCAAACGCCTGCTGAGCCAGTGAGAAGCCAGAAGCTGCATGAGAGATGCATTGATCTGTCAGGATGACCCAACTCACCTATGGAGGCTGGGTCGGGTTCCCACCGTCCCCATGGTGCTGGAGCAGCTGCCGTCCGGATGCCAGACTTAGGGGTGGTAGACAGACGTCCGGATGTGGGTCTGGTTTTTGCAGCTTGCCCCACTGGGAATGCACCACGGTGGGCTGCAGGCCAGACGCGCAGACCTCGGTGCAGCTTTCCCCAAAGGGTTCCAGAGATTTATGAAACCTGTTTCTGAGCTTGGGCCAACTTTCAGGAAAGGAGGAGGGAGGGTTCCCCCAGGAGGGAGAGAGGAGATTTGGTAGACACCGTGCAGTGCTCACTCCAGGTCTCACCCCTGACTTGCGTCTCTAGGAGTTTTCAGAGGAACATCAGGGGCTACCTGGTCTATTTTGACAGCACTCTGGTGGACGGCTGGTACCAAGCACACGCCCTGCTTAGATGCTGCTGGTATTGCCTGTGGAACATATGAGCAGTAAACATGGCCCATGCTCGACGACTCCCCAGCACAGCATGCTCCTCTCTAGGCAGGGTCAGGCCGGGCAAAGGGCAGCTCATTCCAGAGGGCTCCGTAACAGGGTCACACATGCTGGCTGCAGACCGTATGAGCGGAGTTGATGGAATGCAGGAGGACACAGTATCGCCCTCTCCAAGGGGCACTGGGGTCAGCACTAGCTCAGATGGGAGAGCTCCTTCTACTGAGCCACACACCCTGCTCCCTGCAGCACAGCGCCCCCTAGCGCCGCACTGTGGCATTGGGGTCAGCACTGACTTCCGGGGGAGAGCGCCCCCTGCTGAGCACCCCACACAGTGCCAGATTAAATAATTCTGGGGCCCTGTGTGCACGATGGAAATAGTGGGGGAGGCGTCAACTCTAGGTCCTGCCCTTTGGAGTATGTGACCGGGCGTGGTTGGTGTGATGGTTTCGGTCACAGATATCACCTTGGGACTGTCATCTAATGTGCCGAAACTACCTCTGAGCCCATTTTCCCTGCCAGCTTGGGACTCCAGAACCCTGCCTTGTTGAGCCAGACACACTAGCCTGCTGCAACACGGACCCAAGGTCTGGTCCACACCACCAAAGCTGCAGACTTAACTGAAAACAGCTTAGCAGGTTACCTATCGCCAACACACAGACACCCAATTCCCAATGGGATCCAAACCCCAAATAAATCCATATTACTCTGTATAATGGCTCTACAGAGTAAATTCATAAATTGTCTGCCGTCTATAACACTGATATAGAGATATGCACAGCTCTACGCTCCCCCAGTATTAATCACGTACTCTGAGTTTATTAATAAACAAAAGTGATTTTATTAAGTATAAAAGTAGGATTTAAGTGGTTTCAAGTAATAACATATGAACAAAGTAAGTCACCAAGCAAAATAAAGCAAAAACATGCGCGTCTAAGCCTAATACATTAAGAAACTGATTACAGGTAATATCTCGCCCTCAGAGATGTTCCAATAAGCTTCTATCACGGACTAGACTCCCTCCTAGTCTAGGCCCAATCCTTTCCCCGGTACAGTCCAGCAGACATCTTAGGTGGTAAGCAGGGGGTTTCTCATGACTGGTCACCCCTTTGTCCTGCTCCACCCCCTTTTATAGCTTTGGCACAAGGCGGGAATCTTTTGTCTCTCTGGGTTCCCACCCCTCCTTCTCAATGGAAAAGTACCAGATTTATGATGGATTCCAGCATCATCTTACTCTGTGTTTTTTACTGTGCTTCAGTCGCTGTTGGGATTTCAAGGTGCTGCTGTAAAGCAAATAATAAATTATAAACCCTGGTATATAAACTTGGTATAAAACTTGGTATAAAACCTCCTTGGGGATGTGGGAATTGCAGCCAGTGGGGTTTTAAATACTGACTGAATTAATCACATCGACCTTTTTACCATTCACAGCTACTCCCTGATCACGCCCAACGTCCTGCGGGTGGAGAGTGAAGAGAAGGTTGTGGTGGAAGCCCATGGCCTCAATGCCCCAATCGCAGTTACAGTCATCGTGCTGGACTTCCCGCTTAAGAAACGCATCCTATACCAGGTTCAAACCGACCTCAACCCTGCGAATGGGATGATGGGCACAGCCGTAATAAAGGTGGGTAAAACCCCAGCCTCAGGTCATCCAGTGACACAAAGGGTATCATTTTCAACAGTGTCCCGCTCATTTTAGGAGCCTCCAATATTTTCACTCCCCAACTCTGCAATACCGAGATGTTCAGACCCCGTCCAGGTTGGATGTCGTTCTAGAAGAGACACTCTAGCCCAGCATGAAGCTATGAGCTGGAATTGCTGGGTGAAAGTCTATGGCCTGTGTTATACATAGGTCCCTACCAAATTCAGACCTGTGAAAAACGCATCACGGACCGTGAAATCAGACCTCCTCTGTGAAATCTAGCTATTGGAGGGGAGGAGAAGGGGCAGGGCTGGGGGCGTCCCAGCCGGGAGCTCTGACCATGCCCCTGGATCCAGCTATTAGTCCCCTCAGGGCTGGGGAAGGACAGGACTTACTATTGCCCTGCACATCTGCTCTCTGGGGGAGATCAGACCCACCTCTGGGGACCTCCCTTGGCTGCAGGAAGCTCCATGGCTGGGCAGCAGCTCCAGAGCTTCCCGCAGCCACAGGAGGTTGCCAAAGGTGTAGGTGGGTCCAATCTCCCCTGTGCTGCTGGGAGCCAAGGGAGGTACACAGAGGTGGGTCTGATCTTCCCCCGAGGGCTGTGCAGGGGAGAAGGAAGTCCTGTCCCTCCCCAGCCCAGCCGGGACTAGCAGCTAGGAGCCCCTAGCTGGGGCACTCCGAGAAGCACGGGGGAGATCAGACCCACCTCCACCTCCGGGAACCTCCTGCAGCTGCAGGAAGCTGAAGGCAGTGCAGAAGTGAGGGTGGCAATCCTATGATTCCCCTACAAGAGGTTTGTAAACCCCGCCCCCCATGAATCCCTTTTGGGTCAGGAGCCTCACAGTTACAACACCCTGAAATTTCAGATGTAAACATCTGAGAACATGAAATTGACTAATTTTCAAATACTAGGGCCATGAAATTGACCAGAATGGACTATGAATTTGGTTGGGCCCTAGTTATACAGGAGGTCAGACTAGCTGATCGTGTTGGTCCCTTCTGGCTGTAACATCTATGAATCTATTAGTGATGGGAGACGTATAGCTAACTAGTCAGATAGGCACTGTGGGGTCTCTTGTTGGGGACCTAAAATTGAGGTGACCGTCAGGGGCGGCCAACCTGAGCCTGAGAAGAAGCCAGAATTTACCAATGTACATTGCCAAAGAGCCACAGTAATATGTCAGCAGCCCCACATCAGCTACCTCCTGCTCCCAGCTCCTCCCACCCACCAGTAGCCCAGCCAATCAGCACCTCCCCTTCCCTCCCCATCAGCTGTTTCATAGTGTGCAGAAAGCTTTGGGGGGGGAGGGGGAGGAGCAAGGGCATGGCAGGCTCAGGGGAGGGGGTGGGAAGGGGTGGAGTGGGGGCAGGGCCTGTGGCAGAGCCAGGGGTTGAACACTGAGCACTCACCGGCACATTGGAAAGTTGGCGCCTGTAGCTCCAGCCCCAGAGTCGGTGCCCATACAAGGAGCCGCATATTAACTTCTGAAGAGCCTTATGTGGCTCCGGAGCCACAGGTTGGCCACCCCTGCCCTAGGTGCTCCAAATTAGGAGATAGAAGAAAATGTTGAGAGGAAGGATGATCTAGTGGTTAGGGTGCTAGCCTGGGACTCAGAAGACCTGGGTTTGATATCCAGCTGTGTCACAGACTCTCTCTGGGTCCTTGGGTAAGTCACTTAATTGCTCTGTTACTCAGTTTTCCCATCTGTGAAATATAGATAATAGCACTTCTTTATTTTGCTGGGCGGGAGGGAGGGGGCATGCTGTGAGGGTAAATGCTTTAAAGTTGAGGCACTTGGGTAATAATATACTGACATGTTAATAGGGGCCATATAATAACTTAAATAGATAAACTGAATCACAGTGAGATCTAACATCAAACCACATTGGACAGATATTAGTTCCGTTGCTTAAAGCACGACTAGATACTCAGGTACTGCGGTGGTGGGGTCAGTACAAGAACCTGTACTGAACAAAACATGCAAATGACATGGCTTTGTTCATTTTTGGGCATTTTCCATTGCAAATAAAAAAAAAAGACGACAATGAAATGGTTAAAGTCACAAGAGTTTTGGTGAATACCTTGGTCTTAATTCCTGTTAACATGTCAAAGCCAATTATTGGTGTCTCCGCTGACTTGGGAGCTTCTTCTTCGAGTGATTGCTCCTGTGTATTCCACAGTAGGTGTGCATGCTCGCCACGTGCACCGATGCTGGAAGTTTTTCCTTTAGCAGCATTCGTAGTGGTGGAGCACCACTGCGACCCCTGGAGTGGTGCAGACATATCGCGCCATAAAGGGGCTGCGTGCTTCCCCCACCCTCAGTTCCTTCTTGCAGCCAGTGAAGGTAGTCGGAACTTTGTGCTCCAGCCTTGGCTGCAGCGTTTATAGCCTTAGTGGTGTCCAGTCTCACTGAACTTTCTTGCTGAACTTTCTTTCGTTGGTGCCTGGCTCGGGGCATGCCCCGTGGTCCAGGCTTCAAGTCGTGCGACTCTTGTCGCAACTCTATGCCCAGAAGCGATCCACAAAGTCAGTGTCTTTGCTGTCTGGGCGAGGCTCACATTAGTGAGAGGTGTAAAATTTGCCGCTCCTTCAAGCCGCGAACAAAGAAGGAGCGTGAGATCCGACTCTGAGCTCTCCTAATGGAGTCGGCCTTGGCCCCGGCACCGGCGTGTCGAGCCGACCCCACGCCGGGCACTTCGTCTTCGGCGTGTAGCGAAGCGCCTCCGGTGCGCCATCCTGATTCCGCGCCCGGTACCACATCGTCGGTGCGCAGCAAGGCGCCGTCGACGAGCCGGCACCGCTCCCCTTCTAAGAAGCAAGGGAAGACTCAGCAGCGCCGGGAGAAAGAACGGGGTTAGGCCAGACCCGCGTTGGGCAGCCCACGATCCCCATCGGGACCGAGACCTCCGACTCGGGTGGAGCGGAGTAGTTCGGTGCTGTCCACGCGCGCCTCGCCAGAGGTGAGAATGCCTTCGATGCTGGAGGCAGCTCAGGCCGCGTGCGACATCATGACGCTTCCAGTGCCGGGAGCGCTGCCTCAGCTGGGCCCCCGATCCCATGGGAAGCCACCGCTGAGTGCCCATCAACCTTCTCCTGACGTCTCCAAGGTTGAGGCTCCGTCCCGAGTCGAAGGACTGAGCCACGGACCAAGGCGCGCCTCCACGCCGCGAGCAGGGTCGTCTGTGAGTGAGCTTACCTCCTCCTCTCCGGGAGACCGTAGGGGCGGCACTAAAAGACGTTGCCGCTCCTCTTCGAGCCTTAACCGCAGGGACAGGTCTCGTCGTCGTTGGCACCAATGTTCATACTCCGGCACCCGCCGTGGAAGGCGCCATGCTCGGAGTTTGTCACGGGAATCCCAGGCACTGAGGCGTCGTAGTCTTGGGCGCTGGAGGGAATACAGAGACAGCACTCCCGACTCCTACCTATCCTCCTCCAGGGGCCGGAGACGTGATGTTCGGGACCGCTCCAGCCGTTCGTACGGCACCGTGCGTTCGTCCCGGACCTCCGCCTCGGTACGCAGCTGCCCGTCCTCGAGCCGCTCGGTACCGCAGGACCAGCCGGCCCTTCCGTGCCCCTTTGCGTCCCAGGGCCAGGCCGTTCCCTGGCAGGGACAGTGGTGCCAGTGGGCACCGTGGCCCCAGGCACCGGCACCGCCGGGACCCCGCTCCATGGCGGGAGCGTCCCAAGCCCAGCCGATGTCACCGCCTCGGCACCAGGATGAGGCAGTGGGCACCGACCCTCCGGCACCGACTCGGGCCCAAGGTCAGAACGTCAAGCTACCGGTACTGCCAGGTGCCAACGACACCGTGGCACCGACCTCCTTGGCACCGGATGACTCTGTGGCTGCCCTTCCTCCGGTCTCTCAGGAGGATTTCAAGGCCCACCAGGAGCTTCTCAGGAGGGTAGCATCAAACTTCCAGCTCCAGGCTGAGGAGATGGAGGAACCATCAGACACGTTGTTCAATGTCCTTACCTCCTCGACGCTGGGGCGCGTGGCCCTCCCGCTCCACCAGGGGGTGGCCAATATCACTACTGGCCTCTGGCAGACCCCTGTATCCCTCGGTCCTATTTCCAAAAAGGCCGAGCGGAAGTACTTTGTGCCCACAAAGGGGCACGAGTATCTCTACTCTCACCCAGCTCCGAACTCTCTAGTGGTGGAGTCCGTTAACCACCGGGAGAGACACGGCCAACCCACTCCCACCCCTAAGGACAAAGATGCTCGCAGGCTGGATTCCTTTGGGAGAAAGGTTTATTCGTCTGCAAGTTTTCAGCTCAGAGTGGCCAACCACCAGGCACTCTTGAGCAGATATGATTTTAACCTTTGGGGATCCCTTCCCAAGTTTGAGCCCTCCCTCCACAAGAAGGACAGGAAGGAGTTCCGGGATCTGGTTGATGACGGTATGGCGGCGGCTAAAGCAGCGCTCCGGGCGGCCTCTGATGTGGCGGACACGACCGCTCGTTCGAAGGCCGCAGCGGTCTCCATGAGAAGGGCGTCCTGGCTTTCGCTCTCTGGACTATCGGCTGAGTACCAGTGGATCATGCAGGACCTTCCATTCGACGGTCGGGCCCTGTTTGCTGATCAAACAGACACCCGTCTGCACGGGATGAAAGACTCCCATACTACCCTGCAGACGCTGGGCCTATACGTCCCGCCGGCCAAGGACAAGCCCAGGCCTCACACCTCCGGTCCATAGGCTCGGGGCAGATATGAGCCCCCGCCTGAGAAGCAGTGGGAGCAGAGGCGCCGGTCACAACGCCAATCCCATTCGGCCCCTCGTCCGTGGCCCTCTAAGGCCAGGAGGTCGGGGAAGCGGCATTTTTGACTGCTTGTGGGGGGTCGCTGGGCTGGTTGCCACGTTAACCCCCCCCCCCAGTTAATAAAGTTCAGGTTTGCCAATCGTTTACCTGCCTTCAGTCTGCAATGGTTCCGTATTACTATGGACCGCTGGGTCCACAACACTATATCCCTGGGGTACAGGTTGCAGTTTCTTTTGCCCCCTCCCAGTTGCCCTCCGGCCAGGGAGTTGGTGGAGGACCCGGAACATGCGCTCCTCCTAGATCAGGAGGTACAGCGCCTCCTCTCCCTGGGAGCCGTAGAGAGGGTACCTTGGGAATTCCGGGGCAAGGGATTCCATTCCAGGTATTTTCTCATCCCAAAGGCGAAGGGCGGGCTTCGGCCCATCCTCGATCTGCGGAAGCTCAACCAGTTCTTGGTTCGCTGCAAATTCCGCATGGTGTCCCTAGCCTCTATTATTCCCTCCCTAGACCCGGGGGATTGGTTTGCAGCGCTGGACCTCCAGGATGCGTACTTTCACATCCACATTTTCGAGGGTCACAGGCGCTTCCTCCGTTTCCTGGTGGGTCAGGACCACTTCCAGTTTACGGTCCTCCCCTTTGGCCTCTCGACGGCCCCCAGGGTCTTCACCAAATGTATGGCGGTGGTAGCAGCCCACCTCAGGAGGAGAGGGCTGCAGATCTTTCCCTACCTGGACGACTGGCTGCTCAAGGGCGAGTCCCGGTCCCAGGTGCAGCAGCAGATAACCTTCCTGCTACGCACCTGCTCAGCTCTAGGCCTAGTGGTAAACGAGGAAAAATCCACGTTAGTACCGGTCCAGCACATAGAATTCATAGGAGCGCTGTTAGATTCCCGGGCGGCCATGGCCTCCCTTCCAAGGGACAGGTTCGAGGCGCTCAAAGGCCTCATCGCCTCGGTCACAGCCTTCCCGGTGACCACGGCTTGGGTGTGCCTTCAAATCCTCGGCCACATGGCCGCATGCACCTCGGTGGTGTGACATGCCAGGGTCTGGATGCGGCCCCTCCAACTCTGGTTGGCCTCCCGGTACTCCCAGGCCAGGGACGGCCTGGACAAGGTCATCACAGTGCCGCCAATGGTGGTGGCAGACCTACAATGGTGGTCCCTCCCGAGCAACATGCTCTGGGGTATCCCCTTCCGAGAGCCCTCTCCGTCGCTAGATCTAGTGTCAGATGCCTTGGACCTGGGCTGAGGAGCTCATGTGGGGGACTTCAGGACCCAGGGTATGTGGTCACCCGATGAACTGACCCTGCACATAAATGTCAGGGAACTCAGGGCAGTGCACCTGGCGTGCGTGGCTTTCCGCCAGCGCTTACAGGGGCAAGTGGTCAGAGTCCTCACAGACAATACCACCGCTATGTATTACATCAACAGGCAAGGGGGCACGCGCTCCAAGGCCTTATGCCAGGAAGCCCAGCTCCTGTGGAAGTTCTGTATAGCCCACAACATCCTCCTCCGAGCGTTCCACCTACCCGGCGAGAGCAACACGTTCGCAGATTGCCTGAGCAGGGTGTTCTCACATCAACACGAGTGGTCCCTTCACAGGGAGGTAGCGGAGTGGATCTTCCTACAGTGGGGTGCTCCCCAGGTGGACCTGTTCGCTACCGTCCAAAATCGCCTGTGTCCCAGGTTCTGCTCCAGGGTGGGAGAGGGCGACGGGGCCATGACGGACGCATTCCTGCTCACTTGGTCGGGGCCCCTGATGTACACCTTCCTGCCCTTGCCCCTCATAGGCAGGGTCCTACAGAAGGTGAAGTCAGACGGGGCAAGGATTATCCTGATAGCCCCGGATTGGTCCCATCAACACTGGTACGGGACCCTACTGCAACTGTTGGCGGCCCCCCCTTGCAGGCTGCCGCTCCTCCCGGACCTCCTCTCCCAGGAGGGAGGTCGTCTCCTCCATCCCAACCTGGCCCCGCTCCATCTGACAGCGTGGCTGCTCCGTGGCTAGATGCGGAGGAGAGGAGGTGTACCGAGGCTGTTAGATGGGTCCTGCTTGAGAGCAGGAAGCCATCCACACGGAGGTCCTACCTGGCTAAGTGGTATCGGTTCTCCATATGGGCGAGGGATAGAGGTTCCTCCCCCGCGTCTGCTCCGCTCCAGCTGATCCTGGACTATCTCCTGTCCCTTAGGACTCAAGGGCTGGCCCCCTCCTCGATCAGGGTGCACCTGGCGGCCATCTCGGCCTTCCACCCTCCGGTGGCGGGACAGTCCGTGTTCTCCCACCATATGACTTCCAGGTTTTTAAAGGGTTTGGACAGAGCGTTCCCTTATGCTAGACCCCCGGTCCCACTGTGGGACCTGAACCTGGTACTGTCACGCCTTACGGGGCCACCCTTTGAGCCCCTGGCCATGTGCTCCTGGTCCCACTTATCTGAGAAAGTGGCATATTTGGTGGCTATCACCTCAGCCCGCAGGGTGTCGGAGCTTAGGGCGCTCACCTTGGATCCCCCGTACACTGTCTTCCATAAGGGGAAGGTCCAGCTTCGCCCGCACCCGGCCTTCCTACCGAAGGTGGTCTCGGCGTTTCATATGGACCAGGACATTTTCCTGCCAGTCCTATGTCCTAAGCCCCATTCCTCCAATGAGGAACAACACCTTCACATGCTAGATGTGCATAGGGCACTGGCCTTTTACTTAGATCGAACAAGGCCATTCCGGAAATCCCCTCAGCTTTTCATTGCTAAGGCCGAGCGCATGAGAGGGCAACCGGTTTCCACCCAGCGGATCTCCCGCTGGATCACCTCGTGCATACGCACGTGTTATGACCTGGCTGGGGTTCCCCCACCTCCTATTGTCAAGACGCACTCGATGAGAGCCCAGGCCTCGTCTGCGGCCTATGTGGCTCATGTCCCTATTCAGGACATCTGCAGGGCTGCTACATGGTCCTCTGTCCACACTTTTTCATCACACTATGCGATCGTCTCCCAAGAAAGGGATGACGCCGGGTTTGGTAGGGCGGTGCTCCGCCCGGATAACCCGCAAACTTATCATTTAGAACTCCTACCCGCCTCCGTCAGGTATAGCTTGGAGTCACCTACTGGGGAATACACAGGAGCAATCACTCGAAGAAGAAAGGACAGTTACCTGTTCCGTAACTGGCGTTCTTCAAGATGTGTTGCTCCTGTCTATTCCACATCCCGCCCTCCTTCCCCTCTGTCGGAGTTGTCTGGCAAGAAGGAACTGAGGGTGGGGGGAGCACGCAGCCCCCTTTATGGCGCGATATTTCGGCGCCACTTCAGGGGTCACAGCGGTGCTCCCCCACTACGGATGCTGCTAAGGGAAAAACTTCCGGCACTGGTGCATGTGGCGAGCACGCACACCTACTGTGGAATAGACAGGAGCAACACATCTCGAAGAACACCAGTTATGGAACAGGTAACTGTCCTTTCTTCATTCAATGCACCGAGGTTCTGTGGTCAGGCACATAACCATATGCACTATGGCTCGTGTTTGCACTGCCTGGGAAACTTGCTCAGAGCTTGCCAAGTCCTGTCCCTAGTCTGCGCTGGGCACAGCATCATTTCTGGGTGGGGTTCGCTGGTGGAGCAGGATTCTCGTTGTGAGTTGATCCAAAGTCCTGGCTGGGAATGGAGAGTTGGGGGGACAGAGGGAAGTTCTCCAAGATGTTACAGTTTTAGGGGAGCACAGTAGGAATAGTCGGGAGCACATCAGTGCAGTAGAACTGACTTCAGCAGGGCACCCATGGGATGCCCTTTGGTTAACAAACATTCCATATAACAGGAGGTGACCGGACAATGGGTACTGGGCTGTCCAAATGGTCTGGCCTGACTCACTGGTGGTGACCTATGCTGACTCTGTGCCATGCTGGGAATCCCCCTCCACCTGGGGTATTCCCCAATGAGGAGATCCACCATCTTCTTGCAGCTGTATAAGCTGCTGGAGGAACTGCATGTAGAGCGGGTTAGTAAAAGACCATGATTTCTTTCCATGTATAACTTAACCGTTGTTAACACTGCAAAGGTCTTTTGCATAGAGCATCCCTTGTGGTGGTGAGTAAAAGCAGGAAGAACTCATCCATGCTCTTCTTCTCATGCAGGTTCCCACTAAAGACATAAAGAAAGATTCCAAACGAAACCAGTATGTTGTGGTCAAGGCTACGTTCCCTCAGCAAACTCTGGAGAAAGTGGTTCTGGTCCATTTCCACAGTGGATACATCTTTATCCAGACAGATAAAACCATCTATACACCCGGGTCTACAGGTACTGCCTTCCCCTGGTCTCTTCTAATGGGAAGGGGTGGGAGCTGCTGATGTCATGCCATATCTACAGCAGGACTGCAGGGTCCATCCTGTGCATATTGCTTTGCTTGTTGTCTGGCTGAAGACAGAGGAGAATTGGAGCAGAGACTCTGCCACCACCAATTTGCAATATTTCACCCTTCACCATTGTCCTAGGTGGGATGTCCCATTGAGTGTTAGATACTGAAAGACTGGGTGGGCCATGGGATTGCGAATGGGTGATGGAACTTTTCAAATCCAGTGACTGGTTCTGCTCCATCTTGTACCAAGATACATGTCCCCATCTGACGGCCGTCCCAAAGCCTGTGTGAAATAGGGTCTGCTAATCCCAGCCCATTCAGAGCAGGACATGTCCCTGCAATGACAAAGCCCTCCCACCTGGTACGTAGCGACAGGGGAGAAAAGCAAGACAACGCCCTAAAGAAAAAAGCCATGGAGATCTCTGACTGTAGAAAGAGGCTATCGTGAAACAACCCCTGATGGGGGCTGATGGCTCAGATCCTCCGTGGAGTTAGGCACTGAACTCCCGTTGGTTTCAATCAGACTTAGACACCTAAGTAGCTTGGAGGATCTGGGCCAAGGTGTCTATCAGTTAACGACGTCCCTCTCTTCTCTCTTAACTTTCTCAGTCCTCTACCGGATCTTCACTGTGGGTCACAAACTGGAACCAGTGAATAAGATAGTGATCGTGGAGTTTGAGGTGAGGTCGCTGTTCTGAGTGAGCCCGTGGGGGAATAGGTGGGTTTAGCCACTTGTCTGGGTAACGCGCAGCAATTTATTGTGACTGAGGAGGCTCTGCAACAGTGTTAACGCTTGAGGAAAGTTGCGTGGAGTTCTTCAGGAAGAGCCAGGCAGGTGGTTGTCTGGGAAGGCTGAAGACAAGGAGGCACTGCAAGGAGCCCTTTGAAGGACATGTAAAGAGGTGGCAGGAAGAGGGCTTATAGCTCCAGGTGTTAGTTCTGTTAAGGCCCTTTCCACTGGGCTTTATAATCCATAAAATAAAGTAAATCAGTTGCAAAACCCTGGGCAATAATCCCCAGGGGTTTCCTCACCTCAGCCAGCTGGGAGGGGAGAGAACACATCTGTCCCTTCAGTTCCTCTTTGACTCAGTTTCCCCTTTCTTTGACACTCTGCCCTGAGCAGCAGCATAACCAGCTGGGGCCTTGCGATGGGGAGCACCTGTGGTTGGCAGAGCGACGCAGCCCTTTGGGCAGCTCCAAGGTTTGCAGATAGCTCAGAGTTAAGCCTGGCGTCTGCAAGTTTCTGCCGTGGAGGCTCTTCACTCTTCTTAGACTTCTTTGCTGGCTTCGCTGAGCCATCTCAGAAGGTCAGGAGAGATTAGTCGGTTTTTCCAGTGTCTCTGGGGAGTTAAGAAATTCAAACCAATCAGTGGAGTCCAGATTGTTACATGCTATTGTTGGAAGTATGGAGAACTCTCCACTGGCCCAGGAATGTAAACGTGGCAGATGATGTTGTTAAGAGCAATTGACAGCATTTTTCTCCCTAAATTCTTAACTTGTTTCCTTTCCAGACCCCTGAGTCCATTATTGTCAAGCGGATTCCCATCTTCATATCAGGCATCTCCTCTCTGAACCACATCTTGCCGGAGATTGTCAGGTAAATTGCCCCGATGTTACTATGCCTGAACAGAACAGAGCTTTGCAGGAGTTGGGAAGGGAAGCAGAAGAGATGATGTGGAGCTAGTTACTGTGTGTGGCCCATCAGCTAGATCATCTCCTACAGGCATTTCCAAGTGACGTGGAGAAAACAAACTCTCCTGCCACATACCCAGTCTTGGCATAACTTGATTGGTATTTGTTATAGTTTCGATGGATAATCATGTTTATTTGTAAGCCTTTTTTTCCAGTTTCAATCACTTCAAATGCTCAGTTGCCCAAAATTAAATTATGGGTTTTTATTGTCCCCCATTCTGAGTTTTAGCACTTTAAATGTTCACAGGTGGGTGAAAACATGGGGGGCCAGACAACGGTGGTGGGGTGTGACGATGCGGCTCTGGCGGGACCCAACTGAGAGTGCCAATTCAGGACAAATTGCTAAAAACAGGGCAGTTACAGCCCAAGGCTGGGGGTTTTCCGCCTCTAAGGCAAACCAAACCAGCCAGACAAAGAGGACTTCCGTCTCACCCCACTGGTTAACCACAAGTCACACAAGCAATTCCCTAAGACACTCCAGTTTCCCAGTATCACCACCAGTGCCACTTGTTATGGGGACAAATGGTTATGAAAACCAATACCCCAATAAAAGAAAAAAGGTTCTCCTGATCCCAAAGGACCAAGCCCCAGACCCAGGTCAATATACAAATCAGATCTTACCCACAAATCACGCTGTTGCCAATCCTTTAGAATCTAAAATCTAAAGGTTTATTCATAAAAGGAAAAAGATATAGGTGAGAGTTAGAATTGGTTAAATGGGATCAATTACATACAGAAATGGCACAGTTCTTGGTTCAGGCTTGCAGCAGAGATAGAATAAACTGCAGGTTCAAATCAAGTCTCTGGAACATCCCCAGCTGGGATGGGTCATCAGTCCTTGGTGTAGAGCTTCTGTTTGTAGCGAAGTCCCTCCAGAGATAAGAAGCAGGATTGAAGACAAAATGGAGAAGAGGCATCAGCCTTATATAGTCTTTTCCAGGTGTAAGAACACCTCTTTGTTCTCACTGTGGAAATTACAGCAAAATGGAGTCTGGAGTCACATGGGCTAGTTCCTGCATACTTTGCTGAGTCTCAAGGCATATTTGCCTTCTCTCTATGGGTTCATTGTATAGCTGATGGTCCTTAATGGGCCATCAAGCAGGCTAGGCAGAGCTAACACCAGCTTGTCTGGGATGTCACCCAGAAGCATAGCATAAGTTTGAAATACAGACAGTATAGAGCCAATATTCATAACTTCAACTACAAAATTGATACACACATATAGACAGCATAATCCTAACCAGCAAACCATAACCTTGTCTTAGACACCCCATTTGACCCCCTTTATACAAGATTTGGGTGCCACTACAGGACCTTGGTTGCAACAATGATCTAGATGGTCCCCGATTATATCAATAACGTCACATGGGGTCTGACAATAATTATTTAATGACAGTAGACACTGAGATTCAAAAAGCGAAAGCTTTATAACCATTAAAACACAAATTGTCAACATCGTATGTCCAAATACACAAAGTATAAAGACTTAAATCAAACTGTAGTAAGTTCTCAAGCCGCATTTTTCTTGCTTTGCCTATCTGTAAATTTCGATATTATCGATGTAAATGTGTTTTTGTCGGTATGCGTGTGCTACAGTGAAATCAATGACACGTATGGATAAAAATCTAATCCTTCCAAGTCTACGCAGACACCAGAATGAAGCTGCACTGACTTCCTTGCCATTACTCCTGATTTATTCCAGAGTATGTGAAGGCAGGATCAGGCCCTGTTGGCCTGTTTTTCAAAAGTGCTGAGCACCGTACCTCCCATTCTGTGGGATTTATGAATGCTCAACTACTCTGAAAATTACATCAGTGAGCTTGTCAGGGTTCCTTCCCCACTCTGAACTCTGGGGTACAGATGTGGAGACCTGAATGAAAGACCTCCTACACTTATTTTTACCAGCTTAGGTTAAAATTTTCCCAAGGCACAAGTTCCACCTTGTCCTTGAACAGTATGATACCCCCACCAAGTGATTTAGACAAAGCATCGTGGAAAGGACCACTTGGAGTTCTATTCCCCCAAGCCCTGCACCCCCTTTCCTGGGGAAGGCTTGAGAATAATATCCTCACCAATTGGTACAGGTGAACATAGACCCAAACCCTTGGATCTTAAGAACAATGAAAAATCAATCGGGTTTTTAAAAGAAGAATTTTAATTAAAGAAAAGGTAAAAGAATCACCTCTGTAAAATCGGGATGGTAAGTACTTTACAGAGTAACAAAAGTTTAAAAAACACAGAGGATTCCCCTCTAGGCCAGACTTTAAAGTTACAAAAACAGGGATAAACCTCCCTCTTAGCACGGGAAAATTCACAAGCTAAAACAAAAGATAATCTAACACATTTCTTTGCTATTGCTTATTATTTCTGCAATACTAGATGCTTAGTCCAGATATGCTTAAGGAGATGTATTTTTCCTGCCCTGGTTCCTTGCTGACTCGAAGAGAACCAAACAAAGACACAAAACAAAAACCTTCCCCCACAGATTTGAAAGTATCTTTTCCCCTTATTGGTCCTTTTGGTCAGGTGCCAACCAGGTTATCTGAGCTTCTTAACCTTTTACAGGTAAAAGAGGAATTAACCCTTTACCGGGTAAAGAGGGATTTTATGCTACCCTTAGCTGTATGTTTATGATACGCCCCCCAGATCACAGACGGTGCTGGACAGCCTGCTCCACACTGGCTGTGATTTCTTCCTGGAGTTCTAGGAGAAAACAGAATTAATAAGACACATGCAGGTCTAGATATACTACTGATTATATAAAACCTAACAATATTTTCCACATTTCAAGGACAATTTTAACCAGTTGATTCTGGGAAACTTTCATGGGAGAGTGCATCAGCCACTTTGTTAGAAGCTCCTGAAATGTGTTGTATTTCAAAATCAAAATCTTGGCGAGCTAAACTCCACCGAAGACGTTTTTTGTTATTGTCCTTGACAGTATGAAGCCACTTCAGCGCAGCATGGTCGGTTTGCAGGTGGAAACACCATTCCCAAACATGGGCGTAGCTTCTCCAGCGCATATACAATGGTGTAACATTCCTTTTCGTTGATTGACTAGTGGCTTTCCCTCTCAGACAGTTTTATGCTGAGAAACACGACAGGATGGAATTCTTGATCCGTTCCTTCCTGCATTAAAACTGCTCCCACACCACGCTCGGACGCATCTGTGGTTACTAGGAAAGGTTTGTCAAAGTCTGAGGCCCTTAACACAGGGTTAGACATGAGTGTTGCTTTAAGCTGATTAAAGGCCTTCTGACACTCTTCAGTCCACTGAACTGCATTTGGCTGTTTCTTTTTGGTTAGGTCTGTCAGTAGGGCGGCAATTTGGCTACAGTGCAGTAGAAATCGCCTGTAATATCCGGCCAAGCCTAAGAAGGATTGGACCTGTTTCTTTGACTTTGGGACAGGCCACGTTTGGATAGCAGTCACTTTGGCCTGTAGGGGGTTGATAGTTCCTTGACCCACCAGGTGTCCAAGGTAAGTCACACTGTTTAGGCCTATTTGACACTTTTTAGCCTTAACAGTTAGTCCTGCCTCCCTTATGCGCTCAAAGACTTTTTCCAGATGCTCCAGGTGTTCTGCCCAGGAATCAGAAAAAATGGCCACATTATCAAGGTAGGCAACTGCAGATTCTCCCAATCCCGCTAGGAGACCATCTACAAGTTTCTGGAAAGTGGCGGGTGCATTTCGCAGCCCGAAAGGGAGTACATTAAATTCATACAGCCCTACATGGGTGATGAAGGCTGACCTTTCCTTGGTGGGTTCATCTACCGGTACTTGCCAGTACCCCTTGGTTAAGTCTAAGGTAGAGATGAACTGGGCATGTCCCAGTTTCTCCAGTAGCTCATTTGTGCGTGGCATTGGATAGTTGTTTGGGCGAGTTACAGCATTTAGCTTACGGTAGACCATGCAAAAGCTTATCTCCCCATCTGGTTTGGGAACTAGAACCACTGGAGATGCCCATGCACTGTCAGAGGGGCGGATTACACCCATCTGTAGCATGTCCTGGATCTCCCGTTTAATAGCAGTTTTGGCTTGAGGAGACACCTGGTACGGTTGGGCTCTAATTGGGTGAGCATTACCTGTGTTAATAGAGTGGTATGCCCGTTTGGTCCATCCCGGGGTGGCTGAGAACATCGGTGTGAAGCTAGTGCACAGCTCCTTGATCTGCTGTTGCTGCATACATCCAAGGGTCATGGAGAGGTTCATCTCTTCCACGCCACCGTCACTTTTTCCTTCGTAATAGACACCTTCAGGCCACTCAGCGTCATCTCCTCCCTGGGCTGTAAACTGACAAACCTTTAATTCTCTGGAAAAAAGGGGCTTTGGAGAATTAACATGGTATACCTTAGGCTTTAGATTTGAGGTGGGGGATGCTATGAGATAGTTAACAGCTCCCAGGCGCTCTTGGACCGTGAATGGCCCTTCCCACAATGCTTCCATCTTATGGGCCTGCAGCGCCTTCAAGACCATGACCTGGTCCCCTATTTTGAAGAACCGTTCTCTGGCATGTTTATCATACCAGGCTTTTTGCTCTTCCTGAGCATCTTTTAGGTTTTCTCTAGCAAGGGCTAAAGAGTGTCGGAGGGTGCTTTGTAGGTTGCTTACAAAGTCTAGAATGTTAGTTCCTGGAGAAGGCGTAAACCCCTCCCATTGCTGCTTCACCAACTGTAATGGCCCCTTAGCCTCGCGGCCATACACAAGTTCAAATGGTGAAAACCCTAAACTGGGATGTGGTACAGCCCTGTAGGCAAAGAGCAACTGCTGCAACACTAGGTCCCAAACATTGGAGTGTTCATTTACGAATTTACATATCATGGTCCCCAAAGTTCCATTAAACTTCTCCACCAGGCCATTGGTTTGATGGTGGTAAGGGGTGGCAACCAAGTGATTCACCCCATGAGCTTCCCACAGGCTTTTAATGGTCCCTGCCAGGAAATTAGTTCCCGAATCTGTAAGGATGTTGGAGGGCCAACCTACTCTGCCAAAAATGTCTGTTAATGCCTGGCACACACTTTTAGCCCTGGTGTTGCTTAAAGCTACTGCTTCCGGCCATCGGGTGGCAAAATCCATGAAAGTCAGTATATACTGCTTTCCTCTGGGTGTCTTTTTTGGGAAAGGACCCAGAATATCCACAGCTACTCGCTGAAATGGAACCTCAATTATGGGGAGTGGCTGGAGAGGGGCTTTGACCTGGTCTTGGGGTTTTTCCACTCTTTGGCACACCTCACAAGACCAGACATAGGTAGAAACGTCTTTGCTCATTCCCTCCCAGTGGAATGACTTCCCCAAACGGTCTTTGGTCCTGTTCACCCCAGCATGGCCATTAGGATGATCGTGGGCTAAGCTCAAGAGCTTTACCCGGTACTTAGTTGGAACTACCAACTGTCTTTGAGGATGCCAGTCTTTCTGGTGCCCACCAGAAAGAGTTTCCTTGTATAAAAGTCCTCTTTCTACAACAAACCGGGATCGATTAGAAGAGCTGAGAGGCGGTGGGTTGCTCCATGCTGCCGCCCAAGCTCCCTGGAGGCTTTCATCTGCTTCCTGCTCGGCCTGGAACTGTTCCCTTGAGGCTGGAGACATCAGTTTCTCATTGAATTGTGGACTTGGGCTTGGTCCCTCTGGAAGCGATGTAGGTGATGGGTCTGTTTCTGTGGACTGTGAACCACTCTCCGCTGGTGCACTATGTTGTATTTCAGGCTCCTGCTGAGCCTCTTGCGTAGGGTTATCTGCTGCTGCCAGTGCAGGCTCGCCGGTGCCATCTGGCGTTGGAGTTGTAGACAGGGTTGCAAGCGCTGCATTCAGTGCTTGCAATGGTTCTGCTGCTGGCTCTGTCTGGGTCTCTGCGACTGGATCCACTACTGCTGTCGCAGACATTGGCATGGGGTCCAGTTCCACCACCTCAGTCTGGGTCTCTGGTAACACTGACTGGGCCCTTGTAGAAGGTGCAGGAACGGAGGTAGGTGTGAAGGTTTGCTTAGCCTGGCTGCAGGTGACCATTCCCATCCTCTTGGCTAGCTTCACATAGTTGGCCAAGTCTTCCCCCAGCAGCATGGGAATGGGATAGTCCTCATAGACTGTGAAAGTCCACTTTCCTGACCAGCCCTTGTACTGGATAGGCAACTTGGTGTAAGTAAGTTTAGAGGGTTTGACATGAAGGGCTGAATCATCACCTGGGCCTCTGGGTTGATGAATTTGGGGTCCACTAAGGATTGGTGGATAGCTGACACTTGTGCTCTAGTGTCCCTCCATGCGGTAATCTTCTTCCCGCCCACACTCACGGTTTCCCTTCCCTCTGAGGGTATCTGGGAGGCATCTGGGCCTGGGGACCTTTGCTGTGGTTCTGGTGTACTGAACTGCAATCTGTTGGGGTTCTTGGGGGTTCTTAAAGGCTGCAGGCCAGATTCTGATCTCATTACATTTAAAACATCGCTCAGCTGACTGGTCACTGGGGTGAGGTGGGTTGCTGGAGACTGGTGTGGTGGGACGATAAGGGGTTTGGGGTTTTCCATGGAATGTAGGTGGGGCCTTGGGCTGCCCCCGGTGGTAGGGTGTTATCTCGGGTTTCCCCTTCTGATATTTGCTCCAACTGCTACTAGTTTTTTTTCCTTTTCTGCCACCTCCACCCATTTAGTTCCAATCTCCCCCACCTCGATTACAGTTTTGGGCTTCCCATCTAGGATATACCTTTCTATTTCCTCAGAACACCCTCTAAGAACTGCTCCATTTGCATTAGGAAAGATAGATCTTCCAGAGATTTAACACTTGCTCCTGATATCCAGTCATCCCAATTTTTTACAATGTGGTAGGCGTATCGGGAAAATATCATGTCTGGTTTCCATATTAGGGCTCTGAACCGCCAATGGGCATGCTTGGGTTTAGTCCCATTCTAATTCTGGCCTTGTTTTTAAAAAGTTCATAGCTGTTCATGTGTTCCTTAGGCATTTCAGCTGCCACCTCTGCTAAGGGTCCACTGAGCTGCGGCCTCAGCTCCACCATATACTGGTCTGTAGAGATGCTGTACCCAAGGCAGGCCCTTTCAAAATTTTCTAAGAAGGCCTCTGTATCATCACCTACCTTGTAGGTGGGGAACTTTCTGGGATGGGAAGCAGTACCTGGAGAAGGATTGCTAGGGTTGTCTAGTATATTCTGCTTAGCCCTTGCCCTCTCTAACTCCAGTTCATGATTCCTCTCTCTTTCTTTATCCTCCATCCTGGCTTTTTCTGCCTCCATAACTCTCTTGTGGGTAGCTTCTTCCCTGGTCATCTGTCTATCATGTTCTTTTTGTCTCTCTTCAGCTTCGAATCTGGCTAATTCCATTTTTTTCTGGACGTCACTTTTTGTCATCCTAGCCTTTTTGCGCTTAGCCTAGCTAACCCGAGAGTTAGAAAAACAAACAAACAACCCACTTGTGAATTCCCTTGCAGGAAGTTAACTACCCTGCCCACAGGCAGAGAAAAAAAACTCCAGCTGCTCACAGCTTAAAAAAAACAACAACTCTGCTTTCCAAGCAGCCAAAAAGGAAAAAAAAATGTCCTTTTAAAATCCTACTGGGCTTTTGGTTCAAAATGATCCCACCGCGCTGCCACCATGTCACGGTTCCTTCCCCACTCTGAAGTCTGGGGTACAGATGTGGAGACCTGCATGAAAGACCCCCTATGCTTATTTTTACCAGCTTAGGTTAAAATTTTCCCAAGGCACAAGTTCCACCTTGTCCTTGAACAGTGTGCTGCCACCACCAAGTGATTTAGACAAAGATTCAGGGAAAGGACCACTTGGAGTTCTATTCCCCCAAAATATTCCCCCAAGCCCTAAACCCCCTTTCCTGGGGAAGGCTTGAGAATAATATACCAATCAATTGGTACAGGTGACACAGACCCAAACCCTTGGATCTTAAGAACAATAAAAAATGAATTGGGTTTTTTTAAAAAAGAATTTTAATTAAAGAAAAGGTAAAAGAATCACCTCTGTAAAATCAGGATGGTAAGTACTTTACAAAATAACAAAAGTTTCAAAAACACAGAGGATTTCCCCTTTAGTCCAAACTTTAAAGTTACAAAAACAGGGATACATCTCCCTCTTAGCACAGGGAAAATTCACAAGCTAAAACAAAAGATAATCTAACGCATTTCTTTGCTATTACTTACTATTTCTGCAATACTAAATGCTTAGTCCAGATATGCTTAAGGCCAGTGGTTCTCAAACTTTTGTACTGGTGACCCCTTTCACATAGCAAGCCTCTGACTGCAACCCCCCCCCCCATATAAATTAAAAACACTTTTTAATATATTTAACACCATTATAAATGCTGGAGGCAAAGCGAGGTTTGGGGTGGAGGCTGACAGTTCATGACCCCCCATGTAATAACCTCATGACCCCCTGAGGGGTCCCGACCCCCAGTTTGAGAACCCCTGCTTAAGGAGATGTATTTTTCCTGCCCTGGTTCCTTGCTGACTCGAAGAGAACCAAACAAAGACACAAAACAAAAACCTTCCCCCACAGATTTGAAAGTATCTTCTCCCCTTATTGGTCCTTTTGGTCAGGTGCCAACCAGGTTATCTAAGCTTCTTAACCCTTAACAGGTAAAAGAGGAATTAACCCTTTACAGGGTAAAGAGGGATTTTATGCTACCCTTAGCTGTATGTTTATGACAGAGCTGGTGAGCGAGGGGCCTGATTTTGGTATGGATCGGAGTTTCCTTACGTTTGGGGTTGTTTGGATTGAGAGTTTTGGTCCACGCAGACTGTAGAAACAAGTGCCAGCCACAAAGTTTAGATCCAAACTTCCCAAAACTTGCTGGCCAAAGGTTGAGGTTTTGTTCCAAGTCCCTACCTCTAGTTCTGGTTCATGAAAACATCTAGGTGCAGCAAAAAATGACTTGTCTGAGGTTCCCTGTGGTTCCCTCAAGACGGCTTGAGTTCCATGTATGGCTCAGATTTAGCTTCAGGACCCGATAAAATTACTGGAGAAACAAGTGAGCCAGGTGGGCCTTGCAAAATGTGTGTGTTAAGTGCATTCAATGTTCCTTCTTATTTCCTTCCTCCAGTCTGGGAACCTGGAAGATCACGGCCAGGTATGAAGACTCCCCTCAGCAGACCTTCAGTGCGCAATTTGATGTTAAGGAATACGGTAAGAATCCAGCACCCACCGCGCCCAGGCTCAGGGAGCGGGTCTGTCTCTACTCTCCTGACACCATCTTGGAGCAGACTCTCCATTCGGCTTGGCTTTGCTGGCAACCTACCCTGTCCTACAGGCTCAATGTTCTCCTCTTCCCCTCTCGTTTCTCCAGTGTTGCCGAGTTTCGAAGTTATATTGGAACCGTCTGAGAAGTTTTTATACATCGATAGCAATGAAAACTTCACGGTTTCTATCACTGCGAGGTGGGTCTGTGAGAGGGTGGAAGGGATCAGCTGACTGGGGTAGCAACCACAGGTTTTAGTGCAGAAAGAAACCTAAATCTTGCATCACTTTGGGAATGTTTTCCACTAAATGTGTTGGTTTTTTTTCATGAAGAGCGTCCTTTTTCCATGGAAAATTCTGTTTGTTTTTTTTCATCCAAAAACCAATGTCCAAAAATGGGAAAAAAAATTGTCCGAAAACCTTGTGATTCAGAAATGTTGGTGCGGTGCCTCATGGGAGTTGCCATTCGGGTGCTTCATTCTTCTATTCTTCTCCATGGGCTGGGCTTGCCAGCTGAACTTGAACTCCCATAATGCACCATAGCCATGATGGTCCACTTCTCCTTACCATGCTGGATCATAGGAGATATAGACCAACCAAGGAGCTGGGCCTATAGAGGAGAATGGTGACACGAGGCCATAATATTCAGCAATAGGTTTTCTTGTGGCTCCTCTTACTCATCCTTATCTCCTCCAGGTACCTATATGGGAAAAAACTTGATGGCAATGCCTTTGTCCTCTTTGGGGTGAAGGTGGATGATGAGAAGAGGAGTATCCCGCAGTCTCTCAAGAGAATCTCGGTAATTCCTGTTCTCGGCTGTGGGGGGGGAGGGATTCACGCCTCCTGGGAAACTGCGTGGGTGAGGTCATGAAACTCCCTCTCCCTTTCTAGATAGAAGACGGAGACGGGGAAGCAACGCTGACCAGAGCGATGCTGCGGGCTCGGTTTGCCAACCTCAACGAATTGGTTGGCCACTCGCTCTACGTCTCTGTCACCGTTTTGACAGAATCTGGTGAGCATCAGCAATAAGTGCACAGCCAAGTGCTTTATTCCCGGGGTGTTCCAGACCGGTGCCGAGTGCAGTTCAAGGTGTTGATTTAGATGCATAAAGCCCTATCTGCTTAGGGTTCTGCAGATCTTAAAGGCTGCAGGCCAGATTCTGATCTCATTCGCTCTGGGGTAAACCTGGTGTGACGGGCTGCTCCCTCTTCCGGGGTGCCACCTGATGTTTTGGGGTACCACTGAGCCTGCCTATTCCACCAGCCTGGGCTCCCTTACACTGTTCTGCTGAGCCAGGCCCTCTCAAGCCTCCTCCAGCACAGACACAGGTAGGGACACGCCCAGCTGCAGAAAGACAGACACTGAAATCAGCACTGCAGGGGAAGGCTTCAGCTAAGGAATTTCCCAGCACTCAAGTGCACACCCCCTCTGAAGTGTAAACCCAAAATTGTACTGTCTTCCACTGCACAGAGAACTGTACAGCGTAAGCCCTGAAATCCGCCCCCTCCCTCAATGTGGAGGACGATATGCACAGCTTTTTGCTCCCCAGTTATGAATTCCACAAACTGGTTTTAGAGAAAACAAGTTTATTAACTACAACAGATAGATTTTAAGTGATTATAAGGCATAGAAAACAGATCAAAGCAGATTACCCAGCAAACAAAACAAAAATGCAACATAAACTCAGATACTAAAGAAACTGGTTACAAGCAGTTATTTCTCACCCTAAAGGTTGTTTTAGGCAGATTGCAGAGTTTCTTGAAGGCAAGCTGCTCTTGCTAGCAGATTCAAACTCCAGGTATTTCTTTCACAGGCCAGACACACTCTGGCCTGAGTTCAGTCCTGTCTTCCCCAGACCAGTCTTAGGTGTTTTCATCAGTCATCTTGGGCGGGGATTCAGTGAAGAACCGACCCTGATTATCTCACTTCCCTGCCTTAAATAGTTTTCACATATGGCGGGAATCCTTTGTCTTCCAGTTTGATTCCCACCCCCGGCCAGTGGAAAAGTACTAATTTTATTATGGAGTCTAGTATCAGGTGAATTAATCACATGACCCTGCAGCCATAACTCAAAGTCCATTTGCAGCGTTCGAGGAAGATGGGTGATTACACTCTTCAAAGACCTATTGTTCTCCCTAATAGTCTATTGACTTGTATCCAGCTAGCCAGCCAGACTGATTGTATTTTGTCTGGTGGGTGTTCTCCAGGTGCAAACACTTTTGTAGTACAGATGTATAGTCAATATTTCTAACTTAAGATACAAAAATGATACATGCATACAAATGGGATACTCATATTCAGTAAATCATAACCTTTCTCATCTTGCATAAAACACATCTTAGTTATGCTGTAATCATATAATAACAATATTTCTGTGAAGAATATGGGGTGTAGTGTCACACCTGGAGTAATTCCAGATTTACACCAGTGAAAGTAGCTTGAAACTGTTGCACCTTTGTTTTCTGTGCATTGAACCTTTCCATTTCTAAGAGCTCCGGGTCAGCTCTTAGGGATGGTCTAGGCATACTTACTCCTGCCTCAGTGTGGGGGATGGACTAGATGACTTCTTGAGCTCCCTTCCAGCTCTACATAGCTATGATTTCTAAACTTTCCCTGCAGAGGGAGCAGCCATTCTGTTCCGAGCAGCTGTAGCTTGTTACAGATGAAACTAGTAGCTGAAAGCCTGTGCTGTTGCACGGGTGTGGCAATTGGACCAAGTAATCCAAACAACCAATGACATTACTGCATGCAAATTAGTAGTAGAGTAAAGGTGGTGATTGGTTGGTTGAGTTGTGTCTGATATCACAATGGTCTAGGACTCTTGGCATGGTACATGCCTTATTGGAGCTGTACACCAGGCTGGTAAAGGCAGAATGGCTGGGGACTTAAAAATTGGCCTGTAACAGACTTCAAATCCCAGTGACGATTGAACCTGGTGATATTGTAACTAAAAAGAGTCCTTCTCTTGCTCATATAGCTGCTTCCATCACTTCACACAGACGCAACAGACGTTTTAGGCTTAAGAGTGGTACATGGACAGAGTGACAGTCCTGGAATATTATCATATAGATAGATACACATCACATTGTGCTCTCTCTCTCTCTCTCTCCCCCTCAGAGACTTTGTTTTTGTTCTTTCTTGTTGCATCTTTAAAAGCTAAAATAAGTCATTTTAGCATGAAAGGGACTGATTCTGTTTTCACTGCTACAGTGCCACTGACTACAGGGGAGTTATTCCTGATTTATACTGGCGTGAGAACAGAATCAGGCTCAACGGCCTGCAGTAATGCCAGCCCCAAACATACAAAAATCACAAGTCAGTCCTCCCACTCCCAAAATCACGAGATCATATAAAAATAATAAAATTTAGGTGCTTTTCTTTCCCTCGTGGCTTTTGAGGCATTAGATCACACTTGGGAAATGTTTTCAACCTTTTCTCTGCAACTAGGAGGGTTAGAAACGTATTTCTTCTTTTAAACGACAGCTGAGATTCTCATGCCATATGGTGATTCTAGCAGCTGGGTCTTGAAGACAAGGAATTAAAACAGGAGACTCATGATAAAATCACAAGAATCAGCAGCACTGAATCAATATCTGACCATGGCCTATTCCTTGTGTTTTACCCTTGACCATAAGGACAAAATCTGTATTCCCTAGCTCAGTTTTAATTGACCCATGGCTTCTCTCTGCAGGCAGTGACATGGTGGAAGCGGAGAGAACCGGAATTAACATTGTGACATCTCCCTATCAGATCCACTTCACAAAAACACCCAAGTATTTCAAGCCAGGGATGCCATTTGAACTCATGGTAATATCTCTTCTTCTGGATCATGCCCACTGTTGCCTGAGGTGTATAGACAGGCAGGGCCGTAGCAACAAAGAACGTGGACCCCTCCGAACATATGTCCGGGCGGGGCCCCTTACAATGCAGAAACTGGAATGCAGTATTTATTTTGCCATTTTTAGGGGCCCCCTTCCTTGCGGGGCCCCCTCCGGTCGGAGGGTACGGAGGGTGCTCGCTACGCCTCTGTAGACAGGAGAGCAATATGGGTATTGGGGTGATGAGGGTGGTATAAGAACTTAGAATAGAACATAAACAAAGGGTCACATTCCAATCTCAGTTACACCAACCTAATTCCAGTGTGAATCCACTAAATGCAATGGAATCACTCTAGATTTGCATCAGCATAACAAGAGCAGAGTCTGGCCCAAAAGTTGACAGCAAATACAAGGTGTGGAATGGCACCTAGCTACAGGCTTGGCCCAAAATGTGCCCTGGGGTCACTCGTGTACTGCGAGATAATATTCCCTGGACTGTGTTAGTTGCTGGGGCTTCAGGCTTTTCTGACTGTAGAGGGGAATTGGGCATAGATGAGGAGTTCCAAAGAGGGGGGGCATTTGCAGAAATAGGGGGCAGAGGGACCATTGTGGATAGGAGGATGTGGGGGAATTTCAAAATTGACACTGACAGAATGATTCTCCTCCCAGTGAATTAGGCTGCATTACAATGGGAGAAATATTATGCTCCTAAAATTCGGAACCAATCAGCATCAGTCTTCTTGTCTGGTTTTACGGTCCCACGCTCCTCTGGGGCTGAAGAGTTTGTGAAGGGAAGTTAGTATTTTTCTGTCAGCAGGCGCATAAGACTATAAATTAGCAGAGAACGGAAGCAATTATCTTTCGCTGCAGACCAAACGTGCATGACCACAGTAATGAGCAGGTTAAGTCCATTTCTTATCTGCCTGCTCCTCCCTCTGCCCTCCCCCCCCCCACCAGCACCTCCTTCCCACTCCTGAACTGATCCTCGGCGGGCGGAAGGCGCTGGGAGGGAGGAGGAGAAGCTGATCAGCGGGTCCTGACGGTGGGTGCTGAGCACCCACTATTTTTTTTCCAGCCCCGGACCATTCACAGAGTCGGCGCCTATGCTTAGGTTGTTAGAGGTAGTGCAAAATACATTATTGAGGCGAACGCTTGATCTTCTTAACTAAACCCCAGCTGATTTACGTAGGACAGAGGTTGGTGAATGTTCTACATCAGCCAAAGCCCAATATGTAAGGGTCGGTGTCAGAGTAGGAATGAATTTACGTTGGCTACCAAGGTTATGTTTGGAGAAACAGCGTAATAGGTTTAAAACTTTAAAATGCCCTTGTTTTTTGCAAGGCCATTGATCTCTGCAGTCTTGAGGGTTTTCAGACCCAGGTCTAGTCAGCACTCAAAGGATATGTCTAGACTGCAGTCACGGGGTGCGACTGGAGCTCTAGCTGACATCGCTGAACTAGCTTCCATCACCTAGCTTGGGTCCAGGAACAGTGAAACTGCGGCAGCGCTAGCTATACAAGCGCACCCTGGGCCCTGGATAATTACTCACGGGGCTAGCCCGCGCTGATGCTAATGCTGCCTTAGCTTCACCGTTCCAGGACCCAAGCTAGTGAGATTAAAGCTAGCGTGGGTACATCAGCTCGAGCTGTGTTCACACCCTGTGACTGGGTAACGCCAACCACCAGGGTCTGTCAGCGGCCAGGATCGAACCTGCAATCTCTGGAGCTCAATACATGAGCCACTACTGCATGAGCTAAAAGCCACAGGGCACTTAGCTAAGGCTGTAGTAGACTCATTAATCTCTAAGTGATCTAGGTGCCACTAGAGGAGCACAGAGCGCCACAGCCAGCAGGCATGGCGTGCATACAACTGCAGGCTAGACATCCCCTAAGTCAGAGTGTGAAAACTTTAATTAAACTCAGAGTTGAAGATATTTGTAACCAACTGGACACGATGGATGTTAGCGCAACAAATACGTCTCCCTGGCTCCCTTATTTAAAGAGCATCCATAGATTCAAGAAATATTTGGAAGTCTTGACTAACTGGCTTGACTACTCCAATCAACTGTACTCCCATCCACTTCCTGTGTGTTAATTGCCACTTGAGAAATAAATGGCTATCTCCAATCTTGGCTCAGAAGCCTTTTATCTCATTAGCTCAAAAAGCAGAATATTTGTTGGCAGTGATCCTGTTTTGGTTAGATGGGCAGTTGCCTTATTTGCCTGGGGACAAAACAAGAAAAGACTAGTGTGAAATTAATTTCCTCTCTGGCCTACATGAATCAATTTATTCCTAATTTTTGTATATTGTTTTGATGGGTATATAAAAGTGTAAACTGAATTTAGGAGCAGGGTTGAAGTTGTGGTTTTTATATTTTTGTATGTTTGTAGTTTTTAAAATGTGTGTGCATTTTGTGGTGTGATACAGCAGATCACTGAGGCCCCATTTCTCAAAGTTATTTAGGTGCCAGATTCCCATTGAAATCCATGGAAGTTAGGCACCTAAATACCTTTGAGGCTATGGACCTGAGATGCTGTACATGCGATTTGATTTGAAGTTAGGATGCAGGGAGCGCTGCATCCCTTATTCGATGCATCCCTTTTTGATCGTGCCCCTCAGGTCTATGTCACAAACCCCGATGGCTCTCCAGCCCCCCGTGTCCCAGTACAGGGTGAAGGATTCCAGTCGGCTGGGTCGACCCAGGGAGATGGAACTGCCAAGCTGATTATAAACATGCCCGGGGATAAGCAGCAGGTTCCCATCACGGTGAGTAACCTTCAAACACTGAGGCTGAGCTAAGTACTATATGCACCCAGAGGGCAATGCCCTGTTGGTGGCGTTCACTCCCCTCTCATGCACTAAGCAGGAGGATAACTGAACTCTGTGCATTCCATCTGCGCCTGGGGTCAGTTTCCTGTATACCATTTGGTTTTGGAGATGCTCCAATCACCATGTAACCAATGCTCCATCGTGGGGCCAGAAGAAATCCCAGAAAACATTGACATGGGCATAAGCAGGTCCAGTTTAGTCCCCTTGCCACAATGAAGGTACCCACCATGCAGCAAAGGAGCCTGTAGACAGCGCATGGCTGCTTAGTGTGAAGACCCTGTGAGGTGACACCAGGCTCAAGCTACAAAGCCCGAGAGAACACTGGATCTATCTGTGTCCGGCCGCTTCAGGAGAGAGTCCCTCTTTATATTCATCTCACACCTCCTGCAAGGGGCAAGGCAGTCTCCTCTGTTCAGGGACATGTTCTCTGACAGTCCAGAAATCTGGGGTTCCAGCAGGACTGTGCTGAAGCCACAGGCCAGTTAAAAGTGGCACTTGGTGTTTCCCTGAGGTGTCATGCCTAGAATGGCTGTTAGCAGCAGAATCCACCAACAATGGCGTCTCAGGGAAGCTTCCTTTGCTATTGCTCATGGTGTGACCCAGCGTGAGGGGCTATAGACCCTAAGCTCACTCCCAGATTCAACTAAGATTTTATCTCCACCTCCCCTGCAGGTAAAAACTGCCCATCCCAACCTCCCAGCAAACCGCCAGGCCTCTAAGTCCATGGTGGCTGAAGCCTATCAGTCCCAAGGAGATTCTCAAAACTATCTCCATCTGGCGGTGACAGCTTCTGACCTCAAACCTGGAGACAACTTAGCTGTGAATTTCCACCTGAAGAGCAACAATCCAGCTGTTCTGAAGCAGATCCAATATTTCACCTACATAGTAAGTGCTGCGTCCCTGGGTACTGGGATCTCCTGGAACTTAGGCATCATCTGAGTTTCCACATGTCCTTTAATATTCCCACTGCATGTTAAGGAGAACCTGTAGCAGAGAATTCTTCCCAGTCAGGCAGTATATGCCCATCTGAAAAGTTGCAAGTTGCAAGTGACCGTCTCTTACTAGTAGAAAACAGGTGGATGGGAAGATTCATGGAATCTGAGTCACCCATTGTGTTAACTCTTGTGGCCTTTAACAATCCACGTCTCATGTTTCCCTGTTAGATCCTGAATAAAGGGAAGATCATTCGTGTAGGGAGACAGGCCAGGCAGGAGGGACAAAATCTGGTGACCATGTCCCTGCCCATCACTCCAGACCTCATCCCTTCATTCCGCATCGTGGCTTACTACCAAGTAGGAAATTCAGAGATTGTAGCAGACTCGGTCTGGCTGGACATCCAGGACACTTGCATGGGAACGGTAGGTTGATATTCAAGTTGACTTTCTACATGTTAATTCCTATGATGGTGTCATTACGAGGAAGTTTTTCCTAGCCTGACTTTCAAACGGGACTCTAAAAATGGCACCGTGGGGCTGCTCATTGACTGTCTCCCAGGAAATTCTGGATCAGATTTGATCGGTTTACACATACAAAGATGTTCCCCAGTACCTCGATCGTTACTAGTTCTGAAGTTAGTAGCCTGGCCTGGGGCATGCCCCGAGCCCCAGGCTTCAAGTCATACGACTCCTGTCGCAATTCCATGCCCAGAAGTGAGCCACACTCCGAGTGTCTTCACTGTCTGGACGAGGCTCACACAAGTGAGCGGCGTAAAATTTGCAAGTCCTTTAAGCCCCGGACTAAACGCGAACGCAAGATCCGACTATGGGCCCTACTTATGGAATCGACATTGGCCCCAGCACCGGCGCGCCAACCCGACCTGGAGCCGGGCACCGCGACCTCGTTGCGGAGCGATGCCCCATCCACCGGTCGGCACCGCTCCCCGGCCAAGAAGCAGGGCAAGTCCCAGCGACGCCGAGATAAGGACAGCGGTGAGGCCGGACTTGAGTTGGCCAGCCTATGATCCTCGTCGGGACCCAGACCTCCGACTCGTGCGGAGTGGAGTAGTCCGGCCCTGTCTGCGCGTGCCTCCCCACCGATAAGGGTTCCTTCCATGCCGGAGGCAGCCCAGGCGGCGCGCGACATCCTCGTCATGCTGGTACCGAGCGGGCCACCAGAGCTGGGGCCCCGGTCCCGAGGGAAGCCGCCATTGGGTGCCCAGCCCTCACTGGCCAAGTCGGTTATTGACGCCTCCACTCAATCCGCCGGGCCCTCCCATAGCCCCCGACAGACCTCTACTCCATTGTTGGGGTCGCCTGGGAGGGAGTCGCCTGAGTCTTCCTCGACCCAAAGGGGCCGCAGGCGCCGGGACGGAAAGCGTCAATGCTCTTCGTCCAGTGTTAGCAGGTCTCGACGACGACGGCACCACCAGTCCTATCGCGATGAACGCCATGGTCGGAGTGCATCCCAGCACTCACCGGCACCGCGGCGTTGTACCCGGAGTCACAAACGGGACTCCAGGGATACTACCTCCGACGTCTACTTCTCGTTGTCGTCGAGGTCGAAATCCCAGGGCAGGACCCGACATGGACGGCAGCAGTTGAGCCGCTCCTACGGCACCGTGTGCTCCTCGGCCACCTCTGCCTCGGCCCCCAGCCATCCTTCCCCGGGCCGCATCGTTCCCCAGGAACAGATAACCCTGGTGGGACCCCAGGCGACTCAGTGGCAAGGAGCGCCATGGCAAGGACAGTGGTGCCAGTGGGCACCGTCACCCCAGGCGCCCGCACCACTGAGGCCCCGCTCCGTGGCTGGGGCATCCCAAGCCCACTCTGCGTCCCTGCCTTGGCACCGAGAGCAGTCCTCGGGTGCCGCACCACTGGCACTGCACCCAGACCCTGACGCAGAGTGTAGTCTGCTGGCACTGCCCGATGCACTAAGGGCCGTCCCGGTCGCCCCATCGGCACCGGATGAGTCCATAGCGGCACTGCCTCCTCCTTCTCAAGAGGATTTCAAGGCGCACCAGGAGCTCCTCCAGCGTGTAGCCGCCAATCTACAGCTGCAGGCGGAGGAGATGGAGGAGCCATCGGACAATTTGTTCAATGTGCTCTCCTCCTCGGCACCGGGCCATGTGGCACTGCCGCTTCACCAGGGGGTGGCCAACATCTCGACTGGCCTATGGCAAACCCCGTCCTCTCTTCCGCCCATCTCTAAGAAGGCAGAACGGAAGTACTTTGTGCCAACAAAGGGGCATGAGTACCTCTATACTCACCCCACCCTGAACTCATTGGTGGTGGAGTCAGTCAACCACCGTGAACAGCATGGTCAGCCCGCACCAACCTCTAAGCATAAGGAGGCCAGGAGACTGGACACTTTAGGAAAAAAGGTTTATTCCTCTGCCAGTTTCCAGCTCAGGGTGGCAAACCATCAAGCCCTCCTGAGCAGGTTTGACTTTAACTTGTGGGGCTCTTTGCCAAAATTCGAGCCCTCCCTCCAAGAGCAGGACAGGAAGGAGTTCAGGGCGCTGCTTGCTGAGGGTGCGGTGGTAGCGAAAGCAGCTCTCCAGGCTGCCTCGGACGCAGCTGACACGGCGGCTCGTTCGATGGCCACAGCGATCTCCATGAGACAGGCGTCGTAGCTTTCCCTGTCGGGGCTGTCAGTGGAGTCCCAGGCTCTGATGCAGGACCTGCCATTTGGTGGCAAAGCATTATTTGCAGACCAGACAGACACCCGTCTGCATGGGATGAAGGACTCCCGCACCACCCTGCAAACACTCGGTCTGTACGTCCTGCCAGCCAAGGACAAGCCCAGACCACAGCCCTTGGCTCCCCCTGCATGGGGCTGATACGAGCCCCCACCCAAGAGGCCTAGGGACAAGAGGCACAGATCTCAGCATCAATCCCACTCGGCCCCACGCCCCGGACCCTCGAAGGGCAAGAGGCAGGGCAAGAGGCGTTTTTGACTGTTTGCGGGGGGCCACCCGGCCTGTTGCCAGGGAACCCCCCCCCCAGTTAATAAAGTTGGTTTTTGGCAACCGTTTATCTGCCTTCAGGGTACATTGGTCCTGTATAACATCAGACCGGTGGGTCCTCAGTACCATCTCCGAGGGGTACAGGCTGCAGTTCCTAAGGTACCCTCTCCACCCTCTGCCCCTTCTGTTAAGTAAGGAGGTGACTCGCCTCCTCACCTTAGGCGCGGTGGAGAGGGTACCTCAGGAATTCCGGGGCAAGGGGTTTTACCCGCGGTATTTCCTGATCCCGAAGGCGAAAGGCGGGCTCAGGACCATCCTCGACCTGCGGAATCTCAACCAGTTTGTGGTTCGCTGCAAATTCCGTATGGTGTCCCTGGCCTCTATTGTCCCGTCCCTGGACCCGGGAGATTGGTTCGCAGCCCTGGACCTCCAGGATGTGTACTTCCACATCCACATTTTCGAGGGCCACAGGCATTTCCTCCGCTTCCTGGTAGGGACAGACCACTACCAGTTCACGGTCCTCCCCTTTGGTCTTTCTACGGCCCCCAGGGTTTTCACCAAATGTATGGTGGTGGTCGCAGCCCACCTCAGGAGGAATGGGCTGCAGATCTTCCCCTACCTGGACCACTGGCTGCTCAAGGGCAAGTCTCGGTCCCAGGTGCAGGTGCAGATGGAATTCCTGCTAGACACCTGCACGAATCTAGGCCTCGTGGTAAACGAGGAGAAATCCACGTTAGCCCCGGTTCAGTGCATACATTTCATAGGGGCGCAGTTAGACTCTCTGGTGGCCACAGCCTCCCTCCCCCAGGACAGGTTCGAGACGCTCAAAGGTCTCATCGCCTCGGTCACGGCCTTCCCAGTGACGACGGCACAGATGTGCCTTCAAATCCTAGGCCATATGGCAGCATGCACCTTCGTGATGCAACATGCAGGGCTCAGGATGAGGCCCCTCCAGCTTTGGCTGGCTTCCCACTATTCCCAGGCCAGGGACGGCCTGGACAAGGTCGTCACGCTGCCACCCTATATAGTGGCCGACCTGCAATGGTGGTCCCTCCCGGGCAACATGCTCCAGGGTATTCCCTTCTGGGAGCCCCCTCCCTCACTAGATCTGGTATCGGACGCTTCAGACCTGGGATGGGGAGCCCATGTGGGGAACTTCAAGACCCAGGGCAGATGGTCGCCCTCGGAATTATCCCTGCACATAAATATCAGGGAACTCAGGGCGGTACGCCTGGGGTGCGTGGCCTTCCGCCAGCACTTAGGAGGGAAGGTGGTCAGAGTCCTCACAGACAATATGGCCGCAATGTATTATATCAACAAGGAGGGGGGCACACGTTCAGCAGCCTTGTGCCAGGAAGCCCAACTCCTGTGGGAGTTTTGTATAGCCCAAGACATCCTCCTGAGGGCCTTTCACCTGCCCGGCAAGCGCAATACGCTCACAGATCACCCGAGCAGGTTTTTCTCCCAACAACACGAGTGGTCTCTACACAGGGAGGTGGCCAGGCGGCTCTTCCTATGCTGGGGCACTCCCCAGGTAGATCTGTTCGCCACCCCCCAGAATCGCCTGTGCCCACGATTCTGCTCCAGGGCGGGGGAGGGCGAAGGGGCGATATCGGAAGCATTCCTGATTCCATGGGCGGGCCGCCTGTTCTACGCCTTCCCACCCCTTCCCCTGATAGGCAAGGTCCTACAGAAGGTGAAGGCGGACGGGGCACGAATTATCCTCATAGCCCCGGATTGGGCCCGTCAACATTGGTACGGGACCCTCCTGCAGCTTTCGGTGGCCCCCCCGCACAGGCTGCTGCTTTGGCCTGACCTCCTCTCCCAGGAGGGAGGACGTCTCCTCCATCCCAACCTGGCCGCGCTCCACTTGACAGCGTGGCTGCTCCATGGTTAAATGAGGAGGAGGGGAGGTGTTCGGAGGGTGTTCGACAGGTCCTGCTAGAGAGCAGGAAACCATCCACACGTCGAACCTACTTGGCAAAATGGTATCGGTTCTCCAGGTGGGCGAGGGAGAAGGGTGCTTCCCCCTCCTCCGCACCTCTCCAACTCATCCTTGATTACCTCCTGTCCCTTAGGACCCAAGGGCTGGCGCCCTCCTCGGTCAGGGTGCACCTGGCGGCCATCTTGGCCTTCCATCCCCTGGTGCAGGGCCACTCGGTGTTTTCATACCACATGACGTCCCAGTTCCTGAAAGGGCTGGATCGGCCCTTCCCGTACGCTAGACCCCTGGTCCCGCTCTGGGACCTGAATCTTGTGCTCTCTTGCCTCACAGGGCCCCCCTTCGAGCCCTTGGCCACATGTTCTTGGTCCCACTTATCGTGGAAAGTGGCGTTCCTGGTGGCCATCACCTCAGCCCGCCGGGTCTCGGAGCTCAGGGCCCTGACCTCCGAGCCCCCATACACAGTCTTCCATAGGGATAAGGTTCAGCTCCGCCCGCATCCGGCTTTTCTGCCGAAGGTGATCTCAGCTTTTCACATAGATCAGGACATTTTCCTCCCGGTCCTCTGTCCTAAGCCCCATTCCTCCAACGAGGAACGGCGCCTGCACATGTTAGATGTGCGTAGAGCGCTGGCTTTTTACCTTGACAGAACCAGACCATTTAGGAAATCCCCCCAGCTGTTTATTGCATTGGCCGAGCGCATGAGGGGGCGACCGGTTTCCACCTAGCAGATCTCCCACTGGATCACCTCGTGCAAACGCACTTGTTCTGACCTGGCAGGGGTTCCCCCACCTCCTATAGAGAAGGCTCATTCGACGAGAGCTCAGGCCTCATCAGCGGCCTATGTGGCTCACGTCCCTATTCAGGACATCTGCAGGGCTGCTACATGGTCCTCTGTCCACAGCTTCTCATCGCACTATGCGATCGTCTCCCAAACACAGGATGATGCAGGGTTTGGTAGGGCGGTGCTCCGCCCGGGTAACCCTTAAAACTCCTACCCACCTCCGTCAGATATAGCTTGGAGTCACCTACAGGGGAATACACATGAGCAATCACTCGAAGAAGAAAGGACAGTTACCTGTTCCGTAACTGGTGTTCTTTGAGATGTGTCGCTCAGGTGTATTCCACATCCCGCCCTCCTTCCCCTCTGTCGGAGTTGTCTGGCAAGAAGGAACTGAGGGTGGGGGGAGCACGCAGCCCCCTTTATGGCACAATATACAGGCGCCACTCCAGGGGTCACAGTGGGGCTCCCCCACTACGGGTACTGCTAAGGGAAAAACTTCTGGCACCAGTGCACGTGGCGAGCACACACACCTACACCTACAGTGGAATACACCTGAGCAACACATCTCAAAGAACACTAGTTACGGAACAGGTAACTATCCTTTGCTGCTGCTCCTGCTGTAGACTCCTTTGTGGGCTGGGGGCTGCCTGCCCGCTCCCCAGAGGAGGCGAGCGAGGGGCCAGCCTTTGTTCGATCCCGCATCCGCCTCCTTCGGGAGATGGATCATGGCTCCCGCTTCTTCTATGCCCTGGAGAAAAGGAAAGGGGCCAAGAAGCACGTCACCTGCCTCCTGGTGAAGGACAGCACCCCCTGCATGGATCCGGCAGAGATGTGCGAGAGGGCCAGGGCCTTCTACACCGGTCTTTTCTCCCCGGAGCCGACCGATCCTGACGCTCACAAAGTGCTCTGGGACGAACTCCTGATGGTCAGCACGGGCGACCGAGACTGGCTAGAGCTGCCTCGCACTCTGGCCGAGTTCTCAGAAGCCCTCCGCCGCATGCCCACCAATAAATCTCCGGGCATGGACGGGCTGACCGTGGAGTTCTACCACGTGTTCTGGGACGTCCTCAGCCCAGACCTTGTCACCGTCTGGGCCGAGTCCTTGCAGAGAGGGGTCCTCCCTCTCTCATGCAGGTGAGCCTTGTTTGCCTTATTGCCAAAGAAGGGGGATCTCCGTGACTTACAGAATTGGCGTCCCATATCGCTCCTCAGCATGGATTACAAAGTTGTGGCAAAGGCCATCTCACTGCGGCTGGGGTCCGTGCTGGTGGATGTAGTCCGTGCTGGTGGACGTGGTCCACTAAGACCAGACCTACACCATCCCGAGCCGAACCATCTTTGATAACCTATATCTGGTCCGGTATCTCCTGGAGCTGGGGTGTAGGGATGATCTGTCGTTCGCCCTCCTGTCCCTGGATCAGGAGAAGTCATTCAACAGGATGGACCATGGGTATCTCCTGAGCACTCTGCGAGCGTTTGGCTTCGGACCCCAGTTTGTGGGCTTTCTCCAGGTGCTGTACGCCTCCGTGGAGTGTCTGGTCAGGCTCAACTGGACCCTGATCGAACCGGTCAGCTTCTGGCGGGGAGTACAGCAGGGGTGCCCCCTCTCGGGCCAGCTGTACGCTCTGGCGATTGAGCCCTGTCTCCTCTGCCGGAGGCTGACAGGGTTGGTGCTGTGAGAGCCAGAGCTGTGGCTGGTCCTGTCGGCATACGCCGATGACGTTCTCCTCGCGGTCCAGGACCAGGGCGACTTAGCACAGGTGGAGGCTTGCCAGGCCGTCTACTCGGCAGCCTCCTCCGCCCGGGTCAGCTGGGTCAAGAGCTCTGGCCTGGTGGTCGGGGACGGGTGGCGGGCGAGCTCCCTCCCACCCACGCTTCAGGCCATCCGGTAGAGCGCGGGTCCGCTGCTCTATCTCAGCCACTCAGCCATCTCCACCGGAGAACTGGCATGGCTTAGAGGGCAGGGTGACGGAGCGGCTCCGGAAATGGACAGGACTACTCCAGTGCCTCTCCCTCTGAGGGATGGCACTGGTGTTCAATCAACTAGTCCTGTCCATGCTCTGGTACCGGCTCAACACCCTGGTCCCAGCCCCGGGCTTTCTGGCCACCCTCTGGAACCTCATTAGTTGTTCCCTGGAATCATTTGGCTTCTAGGTCCTGTAGATCCTCCCCTTAGTCTCGGGAAAGGTCCTTTAGCAGTGGGCCCTCCCACTTCCTGGATCCCAATAGGATCACTCTCCTGTAGCCATCTGGCCTGCTCCTATCACACCCCTTACAGGTAAAGTGATTCTGTACCTCTGGCCAGGAGGGATTTGATGTTACTGCATACATAAAGGTTGTTACCCTTCCCTTTATATTTATGACAGATGTGGCAGTCAGAATTGATTCCAGCTCCCTCTCCCAGGGCTGGGCTGGAGTAAGATGCTTATTTTTGGCCCCTGAATACAGCAGATGTGACTCCAAATGCCTATGGGGACCTGATTGTGATGTAACTACAATGCTACGCTGCTGTAACTCCATTAATTGCTCCTGATTTACACCAGTGTAAGATCAGAATTGGGCCCAAGGAGCAGATCCATTACAGTTCAAACTTCTTTGTAGATTTCCCAGGGCTGCCTGAGGGACAAAGTCACCTTTCCATCATGGCTAGAACAAAGGGACCTCATGGACATTGGGTCCGATTCTGCTCTCAGTTTACACCAGCATGAATATGGAGTAACAGCACTGATGTCAGTGGAGCTACTCCAGATTTACACAGCTGCCCCTGAGATCAGAACCAGGCTTTTGGATGCTCAAGAAACATGAGGTCTGACGTCCTTTTCTCCTATGTTTTGCAAAGGAGGGTTCTTAGCTGCTCCCTCTGCTTTAAAACAAAACCTCTCCCTTCACTGTCTTTCATACAGCTAGTGGTGACCGGAGCTACCGATGAAGACGGGGGAATCCATGAGCCAGGAACTGAAATAAAACTCAAGCTGGAAGGAGACTACAAAGCTTATGTCGGCCTGGTGGCCGTGGACAAAGCGGTCTACGTTCTGAACAAAAAATACAAAATTACACAATCTAAGGTGGGGCATGAAAGATGTTGGTTGTAACTTGTGATGTTTTATAGCGGGAAATGCAGCTCGGCTTTTGTCCTTGCTTGTACCTGAAACCAGAATCTGGCTCAGAGCCTGTATAATGCTTTGGGATCATGCTGGATGGCACCGTATAAATGGGAAGTGTCATTGTTAACAATAATCTCTCAACCATTGTGTTTGCACCTCACAGATCTGGGACTCCGTGGAGAAGAGTGACATTGGCTGTACAGCTGGCAGTGGAAAGAACAATCTGGGGGTATTTACGGATGCTGGACTGGCCCTGGAGACGAGCAATAGGATTTCCACAGTCCAGAGAACAGGTATCACTCTATAGAGCTGAACAGTCGCCATGAGCGATGGAGGAAGGGAGGAAAGAGTCAGCAAAGCAAGGCACAGTGACCTACGCCATGAGCCCGGGGTAGGGACATCAGTCTAGCAGGGCAAATCTCACTGGAACGGCCTAGGAATGGAAATGTTGGGGTTAAAGTGGGAGATGAGAATAAGGTCCTGAATTCCCACTGGCCCCCGCCTATTAAAAGAGGGATTAATTTTAAGAATAGGATAGTTCCGAGGAGGGGATTCAAAGAGTTTCTCTTCTAGTCCACTGGGTTTCTCCCACTTCCAAAGTATCTTTCTTCCCCCTGGCCTGGAAGGGACGGGCAGATGGCTGGTGCTTCTCTCTGACTCTCTCTGTGCCCCAGGCTGCAGGCTTTTGGGGGCAGCGCGCTAGGAAGGAGGAAGGAATGAAGCCTCCTTCACTGTCCTCTCTTTCTGGTTGCCCTGGCTGGCTGAGCATCTGCCCAACAGCTCTTATGTGGCTCCCACCGGGACAGGAAGGAGCACTATGTTAAGTGCCAAAATGGCTTTTCTGGTTTTCAGATTTCCCCCTAAATCAACGGGGTTCCGCTCATTGAGCCCGAGAGCATTCTCGGAAATTTGGGAACTGACCGGATGCGGTGTTCGAAAGTTACCCTGTTACATCCAGACAGAGACATGGCAGCAAGTTGAGTGTAAGGCCTCACTCGGTGGGTGGGTTTTATTTTCTGTTTCTCACTTGCTTCTGCAGATCCAGAGTGTCCCCGGCCAGCAAAACGCCGGCGTCGCTCCGTTCAGCTCACTGAGTATAAGGCAATCAAAAGTAGGTACTAATCAGGGGGTTTGCTGTCCTTGGTCAAAGCAAGCATGCAAAGCAGGAATGTGATTCCCTAGCGTGACCAGTTTCACCCTGCTACAGCCTCCTGCCAACTGCATTACCTGTAACAGGAGATGAGGGAGTCTGGATAGACTTCCATATGAGGAGAGATTGGAGATTTATAGAGGGGATGCGATAGAGGTATAGAAAACAATTAATGGTAAATTGCTCTTTGGGGCACGGACCGTCTCTCTGTTCTGTGTTGGTAAAGCCCCCAGCACTGTGGGATTCTGGGCCATGACTGGGGACCCAAAGTGCTACTACAATTCATATAACAACAACAGGTACATTGTTAAATTACCCATATAAGCACAAGGAGACACTCAACCCATCTGAATGGTTTCTAATTAAGAATTTATAAAAGGAACTATTTTCATACACGATGCATAATTAACCCATAGTACTCACCACCACAGGATTGTATTGAGGCCAAGAGCCTAGCAGGATTCAAAAAAGGATGAGCCATTTACATGGAAAAGGAGGATGTTCACCATTCCATAGGATAGGATTTTTTAAGAAGAGCTATACATCCTCATGCTTCAGGGCATGAGCCAACCTCTGACTGGGGTCAAGAAGAAACTTCTCTGTGGGCAGGTTATTCCACTATGCGGTTTCTTGCACCTTTCTCTGAAGCTGCTGGTGCTAGTCACTGTGAGAGACAAGATACTGGATTCGACAGAGCAGAGTGCCAGTTCCTATGTTCTTTCTTTGGCCATGTCTAGCAGTAAATTAATGACACACAGAGAGAGAGTGAGGACTAGAAGAAGTGTGGTAGGAATGATCTTCTGGCTTTTACATTTCAGCGGCAGATTACCAGGACCGGAAGCTGAAAAAATGCTGTGAAGACGGGATGCACGAGAACCCCATGGGGCACAGCTGCGAGAAGCGGGCTGGGTACATCCTGGATACGGATGAATGCAAGAAGACCTTCCTCGATTGCTGCAATTATATCAAGACCATACGGGACAAGCTGCAACAGGAGCTCCACCTGCAACTTGCAAGAAGCAAGTACCAGGGTTTCAATATCACTCAGAGGAGCAAGGCTGGGGGGATTGTTAGACAAATAAGACCGCGGCACATGAAGCAACCCTGCTCATGTTCACAGATCCCCCCAGGGGGAGATGGGCATGAATGCAATGGCAACAATCCTGTTAGTGTTGCACCATGTTGATATGGGGACCCAGATGAGTCAGGGTAATAACCTCTTCACAGGTCACCGCTGAGGTTTAACCTTTGTTTCTAAAGCACAGTCCTCTACCACTTGAGCTAAAGGGGTAACTCCCCTAGCTAGGAATAGTAGTAGGCACTTACCCCTTGCAGAATATCCACTAGCGGGCGCACATGTAGCACTGAGCCAGTGGCTTATACCAGTGTTGTAGGAGCCCAGAAAAGGCTAGCTCATGGGGGAACAGCAAGGCAGGCATGGAGAGGAGAAGAAGCCTGTGGCTTCCCCTCCAGCCGTTCAACCACACTCCAATTCATGCTTTTCTGGGCTGGCAGCATCAAAACTTGGCAACATAGGTCAAATCACGGATGCTTTCAGGTCAGTTCTAGAGGAGGCCAACCCCCAAATCCTTTCAGATTTGCCCCATCCCAATCAATGTCACAGCAGAGCCAGACAGTCTGTGATTTGACTTTCCAGGTGACTTGGATGAAGATTTCATGTCCGACGAAGATATCACCTCAAGGAGCCAGTTTCCAGAGAGCTGGCTGTGGCAAGTGGAGCAGCTGACTGGGAAACCAAATAAACTGGGGTAAGAGCATGTGGCTGTGTCACTCCCATTCATTAAAGGGCCACATTCAGACGTGGTATGATGTAGCTCCCACTAAAGTCAGTGTCTTTTCACCAGCAAGATCCCCAGTGGAGCCGGGTGGAGTATTTGTCATGAATTAGGTCCATCATTCAGCAGCTGATCCATATTCATAGAGTCACGTCTAGATTTTAAGGCCAGAATGGGCAGTTAGATCATCTAGTCTCACCTCCTGTATAACAGAGACCAGAGAATTTCATTCAGTTACTCCAGTTTTGAGCCCATATTTAGGTACCTAAAAGAACTGGCCCAACTTCCAGAGGTGCTGAGCAGCCAGCGGTATCCCCTGGCTTCAGCCCCAATGAAAAACCAGGCTGCTGATTTAGGTGCTAGAATATGGATGTAGATATCTGGCTGTTTAGTGTTGACCTTTTATCCTGTTCAGGAACCGTTCCTCATTTGTGTTTGTTATTCAGGGTGTGTTATTGGATCGACAAGTCACGTGATATTGATGGTGCTTTCTAATTGGATGTGTGATAAATGAAGGGGGGGGGGGTAGCTCCCTTTTATGGACACCCAGCCAGCCAGTTAGCTATAAACTCCCTCTTAGTAGCTGTTCTCTACTTGCTTTTCCTGTAAAGGGTTAAAAAGTCCATAGGTAAAAGGAAGGGAGTGGGCACCTGACCAAAAGAGCCAATGGGAAGGCTAGAACTTTTTAAATTGGGAAAAAACTTCCCCTTTGTCTGTCTACGTTGTTCTCCCAGAGCGCAGAGACAGGGCTGGAACTATGCTGTAAGAGCTTGAGCCAGGTATGAAAAATCATCACATCATACCTAGAAACTACTCATTTGGAACCCCAGATATGTAAGCAGATCAGGAAATGTCTAGGAAGACGCGATTAGGTTTATCTCTTTTATTTCTTTATGGCTTGTGGACTCTTCTGTGCTAACCCCAGGTGCTTTTGTTTTGTTTGTAACCTTTAAGCTGGACCTCAAGAAAGCTATTCTTGCTTCTTAATTTTTGTATTTCCTCTTTTTAAATCTAGCAATAGCCTGAGTTTTTAGATGTATTTGTTTCTTTTTTTTTAAATAAAGTTGACTTTTTTAAAGGATTGGAGTTTTTTGTGTTAAGAGGTTTGTGCACACGTTGTTTAATTAGCTGGTGGCAACAGCTGATTTTCTTTGTTTACGTTCTCAGCTGTCCCCCAAAGGGGGCGGGGTGAAAGGGCTTGAGGGTACCCCATAGGAAGGAATTCCCAAGTGCACCTTCCTGGGTTCTCAAAGGGGTTTTTGCACTCGGGTGGTAGCAGCATCTATCAATCCAAGGTCAGAGAAAAGCTGCAACCTTGGAAGTTTAATGCAAGCCTGGAGTGACCAGTATTAATTTCTAGAATCCTTGCTGGCACCCACCTTCTGCACTCGAAGTGCCAGAGTGGGAAATCAGCCTTGACAGGATGGCTGAACCATTGTAAATGAGGTACTGGGCCAGGCCCCTCTCCACTGGAATGGAATATAATTCCCCTCCTTGGAATTAGACCTGGACACTAGAATTAATATCCCTACCCTTGAGACCTTTAAAACAGGTCGTGTCCTGTGGCTGGTGCAAAACTTGGACCACTGAGTTACTCCCCAGAGATTACTCTGTATTTTAGTGGGTGGGTGAAGAAGGCTTTACCATGAACCTCAGTCCTAAGATAGGAGGATCTACACCCTTAACTGGGGAATGTCCATGAGTCCTAGCTCCTTCCTTCTGTAAAAGACTTTGTCTTTCTCTTTCCATGTAGAATTTCTTCCAATACGACGTGTATTTTCCTGAAGGATTCCATCACCACCTGGGAAGTCCTGGCTGTGAGCCTTTCAGAGACCAAAGGTGAGGAACACCACAAGCTCTCCAGAGAACAGGCGGAAAAGCTAATGGGGAAAAGAGCCTAGGCCACAATGGGCCTTGGAAATGTCACAGTGAGATGGAACAATCGAAGAGACAGCAAACACATTTCAGGAATAAAGTATAAGTCCCCCTGTCTCTGACTCTGGGTCTTTTCCCATTTCAGGGATCTGTGTGGCTGACCCCTATGAGATAAAAGTAAGGAAAGATTTTTTCATTGACCTCCGGCTGCCCTACTCTGTCGTGAGGAATGAGCAGGTGGAAATCCGGGCTATTCTCTACAACTATCAGAACAAAAACATTAAGGTAAGCTCACCACCTCATGGGGCTCTGCAATGGACCTGAGGTGTCAATGCTTTGACAGACAGCCAAACCGAAACAAAATGGTGGAAGGCTTGTTCTTCTAGGGCCTGATCCCTTTGGGGCTGGACACCCTTGACTCCCATTGATCTTGTTGGGTGCTCAGCCCCTTGAAGGATCAGGCTATGGAATCCACCCAGTTAAGAACATAAGAACGGCCATACTTGGTCAGACCAGTGGTCCATCTCGCCCAGTATCCTGTCTTCCAACAGCGACCAGTGCCAGGTGCTTCAGAGGGAATGAACAGAACAGGTAATCATCAAGTGATCCATCCCGTTGCCTATTCCCAGCGTCTGGCAAGATTGCATGATATAGAGGGAGATTAAAAATGCCCTTCTGGCTGCCATTCTTCTCTGGCTGGGCATCAAATCTGTGAGTAGGTACCAGGTTCAGAGCTTTCTGCTGACTCACACCAGTAGCCAGACCAGGTGGGTCTCATTACTTCCACTCAGGAACACCACAGGCTGAGGGCCTCTCTGAGGCAGGACAGAACTAGAGGGGGAGGAGGGTCCTGAAGGGCCTCTCAGGAAGGAGGTCAGGATACAGTCATGTGCTTTGTAAGTACAGTCCTGTCTGTTATTTATTAAGATTAAAGGCAAACTCCAGTCAGAGGGTATGTTTTGGATCAATGCCCTACAGCAGGGGTAGGCAACCTATGGCACGTGTGCCGAAGGCGGCACGCGAGCTGATTTGCAGTGGCACTCACACTGCCCAGGTCCTGGCCACCGGTCCGGGGGGGCTCTGCATAATTTAATTTTAAATGAAGCTTCTTAAACATTTTAAAAACCTTATTTACTTTACATACAACAATAGTTTAGTTATATATTATAGACTTATAGAAAGAGACCTTCCAAAAACATTAAAATGTATTACCGGCACGCGAAACCTTAAATTAGAGTGAATAAATAAAGACTCGGCACACCACTTCTGAAAGGTTGCCAACCCCTGCCCTACAGTGTCATGGTGTGCAGACTGTCTGCTCACAAATCTCTGTTCTCTTCTCAGGTCCGGCTGGAGCTGCTGCACAACCCAGTTTTCTGCAGCGCATCCACTTCCAAGGCTAAATACCGGCAGATGCTTGACATCAAAGCCAAGTCCTCGCTGGCCGTGCCATTAGTGATTGTCCCGCTGCAGCTGGGATCTCATGACATTGAGGTCAAGGGAGCAGTGTGGGGAAGTTCTTTGTCTGATGGTGTGAAGAAGAAACTGAAGGTTGTGGTAGGTATCAGGTGATGGGGGCGTGATGTCCACTGGAGGGCAAGAGGCAGGAAGCCAGATTGGCTGGATTCTGGAATTGGTGCTGTACCTTAACCTGTTAAATTAACACTCTGCATCTCCATCCTCATCCCACTAACTCCCCTCCTCTGTGGCAACTACAGCAGGGCTGGGGCTGGCCTGGTTATCTTGCACTCAATCCTCTGAGCCGTCATATAAGAGACCTAGGTTCAGTCCCTCAGGCCCAGGGTCTTGCTCCTTGGACCAGTGTGTGCTGGAATCAATGCACCCAGGGAGAACCTCATATCACTCGGCAGAGAGAGCTGAGCAAAGGAGCAGTATTGGTGGGTTGCGAAGGGCATATTGGCCTGCTCCAGGAGATCACTGCAATGCTGGGTGAGAGGAAGAGCCTCCACTGAAGATCAGGGAGTAGAAAAGTCCTTCTTTTTCGAGTGCGTGCTCATAGTGATTCCAATTAGGTGTGCGCGCGCTCCGTGCACGGCCATCGGAGATCTTTTACCCTAAGAACACCCGGTGGGTCGGCTGTGGAGCCCCCTGGAGTGGCGCCTTCATGGCGCTGGATATATACTCAGCTGACCCAGCGCCCCCTCAGTTCCTTCTTACCGCCCGTGATTGTCGTTGGAACTGTGGAGCTCAGCTTTGCTGCTCTCCACTCTCCCTAGCGTTTTTTCTCTCAACAGTTATTAATAGTTTGTTAATAGTTTATAGTAGTATAGTTATAGAGTTTTATATAGTTGCAGTGTAAATCTTTCCCTCCTCCCCGCCGGTAGGTTGGGCTCATGCCCAAAGCTCCAGGCTTGAAACCCTGCGCGTCCTGCTCCAAGCCCATGCCAACGGGCAACCCTCATGACTCTTGTCTAAAGTGTCTGGGGGAATCTCATCAGACAGAGAAGTGCAGGATCTGCAAAGGTTTTCGGCCCCAGACTAAAAAGGAGCGGGACTTTCGTTTGCGACAGGAACTTGTGGAGGCGGTTCTTAGCCCTCAACCCCCAGCACCGTGCCAAGACCCAGCACCGAGCGCTTCGGTGTGCAGCGCCCCAGCGGCAACGGTAGGAACTGCACTGTGGTCGGACTCTGATAGAGACCCACGGCACCGGTGTTCCCTGGCACCGCAACCGACATCATCGATCCGGCACCGCTCCCATTCACCTGTCAGAAGCGGCACCGTAGATCGGAAAAGACTGGCCCACCTCAGCAGACGCCAGCCTCCCTGGATCCGCCCTTGGCGCCGCATCACGTAGAGGAGTGACCAGGGGCACAAGGGCCATCTTTGGCACCGTTGACTAGGGACCGAGAGCTGAGCCGTTGAGTCCGGTGCGTCTGGACTCCCCAACGCATAGCGTGGTTGAAGTCCAGTTGCCATTGACTCCGGACACATTTGCGGCTGCAAGCGATCTGATTGCTATGACAGCTTCGGCATCCCCTCAGCAGACAAAGGTACCGGTTCCTGCTCATGTGGCCCCATCTCGGGGCAAACCGGCCCTTATCCCCGCCGGCACTGTCGGTTGAGCCACGGCACCGATCCTGCTCTCGGCCCCGTTCCTGCTCCCGACGTCGCTTGCAGTCCTGATGTCGCTCGCAGTCCCGGCACCGCTCTCCTTCGCAGCGCCAGTCGTACTCGCGGCACTGGTTGTACTCGCGGCACCGATCAGACTCCTGGCACCGCTCTCAACACCACTCTGCACGCTGGTCACCGTCCAGGAGCAGATCTCGGTCCAGACACCACTCCCGACGACGATCACCGTCGAAGACTAGGTCCAGGTCCCGACACTGCTCCCCGTCGCAGTACCGCCCCATTGCATCGACGTGACTCGGCGCAGACCTGCTCTGCACCACTGTGGCCATCACGTTCCGCCTCTTGTTCAACGGAGTCGGACGTGGGGTCGTGTCTGTCCGACCGCCACCACTTGGATCACAGCCACCTGGACTCAGGGGCTAGTCATTGGCAGGTGCAGGGACAAGGTCCTGTCCAAGAGTCTACTCAATGGCCCTTTTGGACACTCTGGGCATACCACCAGGCCCAGGGTGCTCCGTCAGGGACTTCTCGTTCAGCCCTCTCCGAGCTGCGTGTGCCAGAGGCCACCATCAGCCGTCCTGCTCCTGGGGGCATGGAAACTGGGGCGTCGTCCATCCAGGCTCCAGACCCTCCTCCAACTCCGGTTCCTGGCCCAAACGCTGAGGTCGCGGCCTCAGGACGCCAAGACCTAGCTCAGCAAGAGGCCCCAGATGATCCTCTTCCTTCCGTGGCCTCCTCCTCATCCTCACCTGATGAGGCGGTGGCAGGAACTGCTATTTTGGATCCCCCCCACAATAGACCTCTGTGCCCACCAGGACTTCTTACATAGGGTGGCCCAGAATATGAACCTCCAAGCAGAGGAGGTTATAGAGGTGGAGGACCCTGTGGTTGACATTTTGTCCACAGAGGCTCTGTCTAGGGTGGCCCTACTACTCATCCGGACCATCCAGACCACAGCCAGAACAATCTGGCAAATGCCCACGTCCATTCCTACGACTGCTAAAGGGGTGGAGCGGAAGTACTTCGTCCCCTCCAAGGGATATGACTATTTGTACACGCACCCACAGCCCTGTTCACTGGGGGTGGCCTCAGTGAATGAGAAGGAGCGCCATGGTCAGCAAGCCCCGGCACCCAAATCAAAAGAGGCCAAATGCCTCGATTTATTTGGGCGCAAAGTCTACTCCTCGGGCAGACTTCAGCTCCAGATTGCAAACCAGCAGGTGCTCCTGAGCCGATTACAACTATAACTCTTGGAACTCCATGTTAAAGTTCAAGGAGCTGGTTCCTTCGGAGTCCAGAGAGGAGTTTGGGGCCCTGGTGGAAGAGGGCAAGACAGTGGCGAGGACCTCATTACAGGCCTCGTTGGACACTGCAGATTCTGCCGCTCGGACCCTCTCTTCAGGGATTGCAATGAGGCGTATATCTTGGTTGCAAGCTTCTGGCTTACCACCAGAGCTTCAGCAAACAATACAGGATCTCCCCTTTGATGGAGAGGGCCTGTTTTCAGATAAAACTGACTCGAGGCTTCAGAGCTTCAGAGCCTCAAGGACTCAAGGGCCATAATGTGATTGCACACACCAGCTACCTAGCGGAAGCCATTTAAACCTCAGCCACAACGCTCCTATCCCCCTCCTCGGCTGAGGCAGGACTTCTATAGGAGGCAGGGGCACAATACCAGGAGGAAACCCTCCACCCACCAACCCGGCCAGGGCCCTTCCAAGCCCTCAGCGGGCCCTAAACAAAACTTTTGAAGGGACGCTCAAGGACAAGGTACCAGACCTCGGTCAGGATCCTACCCCACCCTTCCTGACTCGTTTATCCTGTTTCCTCCGTGCTTGGTCCCTTATAACCACGGACCGTTGGGTTCTTTGCACGGTGGAAAGGGGATACTCTCTCCAATTTTCTTTCTTCCCACCCTCCCACCCTCCCTCCCTGTCCCTCTTCAGAGACGCTTCTCACGAGCAACTCCTCAGTCAGGAGGCTCAAATGCTCCTATCCATGGGGGAGATCGAGGAGGTTCCAAGGGAGCTAAAGGGCAGGGGTTTTTACTCCCATTATTTCCTAATTCCCAAGATGAAGGGCGGGTTTTGGCCTATCCTGGACCTGCACGGACTTAACAAATTCATGGTAAAGTTGAAGTTCTGCATGGTCTCCTTGAGCACCATTATACCTTCCCTAGAGACTGGTACGCCGCCCTCGACATGAAGGATGCGTATTTCCACATAGCAATCCATCCAGCACACAGACACTTCCTCCGCTTTGTGGTCAACCGCGAACATTATCAGTTCACGGTCCTTCCGTTTGGCTTTTCCACAGCCCCCAGGGTGTTCACCAAATGTATGGCAGTCGTGGCAGCCTCTCTTCGTTGGAGGCAGATACAGGTATACCCGCATCTCGACAACTGGCTCATCCGAGATCGCACCAAAGAACAGGTGCAGTCCCACATTCAAGTGGTTACGGACACATTTTGTCGATTAGGTCTTCTCATCAGTGTGTCAAAGTCGACTCTAGAACCAACCCCGAGAATAGAATTCATCGGGGCGGTCCTAGATTCTGTGCATGCCCGGGCCCTCCTGCCAGATGCTCGTTTCCACGCTCTGACAGGCCTCATTCGTAGCCTTCAAAGCTTCCCAACCTCAACGGCAAGAACGTCCTTGAGACTTCTAGGACACATGGCTTCCTGCACGTACATGACCAGGCATGCCAGACTACGGCTCCGTTCGCTTCAAGCTTGGCTGGCGTCAGTCTACTGCCCGGGTCGAGATAACCTGAACCTGGTGGTAACTGTTCCGGGGGAAGTCCTGGCCTCTCTCCGCTGGTGGCTAGACCCCAGGGTCTCCTTCCACACACCCCAGCCATCCTTGTCCCTTGTTACGGACGCGCCAGCCCTGGATTGGGGCTCGGGGACATCCAGACACAGGGCCTGTGGACCCCATCCGAACTCTCTTTCCACATCAACATATGGGAACTGATGGCAGTACATCTAGCTTGTCAAGCCTTCCGAGACCACCAGCATAGTCGCTGTGAAGTGGTCCTCACATACAACACCACGGCCATGTTCTACATCAAAAGGCAAGGCGGGGCTCGTTCCTCCCCTCTCTGTCAGGAGGCCATTCGACTGTGGGAGTTCTGCATAGCCCACTCCATTCACCTGGTAGCTTCGTTCCTCCCAGGGGTCCAGAACACACTGGTGGACCCCCTCAGCAGATCCTTCCACGCTCACGAGTGGTCAATCCGTCCAGATGTCATTCACGCCATCTTCCTAAAGTGGGGATTTCCCCAGGTCGACCTGTTTGCCTCACGCAGCAACTGGAAATACCCGGTGTTCTGCTCCCTCCAAGGTCGCTCCCCGGGCTCCCTCATGGATGTCTTCCTACTCCCGTGGACGAACCGATTATTCTACGCCTTCCCACCATTTCCCCTCGTACACAAGATCCTGCTCAAAGGACGCAGGGACAGGACTCAACTGATACTAGTCGCCCCGGCGTGGCCCAGGCAACATTGGTACACCACGCTGTTGGAGATCTCCATGGACGTCCCAGTTCCACTGCCCCTTTTTCTGGACCTGATCACTCAGGATCACGGCCGCCTATGTCACCCCGACCTACGATCCCGCCACCTCACGGCGTAGATGCTGCATGGCTGAGCCATTCAGAATTCCTCTGTTCTCACTTGGTGCAGCAGGTCCTGTTGGGCAGCAGGAAACCTTCCACTCAGGCCACATATATGGCTAAGTGGAAGCGATTCTCATGCTGGTGCACTCACCACGGCACGCCCCCTCTCCAAGCGTCTATGCCTCTCATTCTGGACTACCTCTTGAGCCTGAAACAGCAGGGTCTGGCGACATCATCTATCTGAGTTCACCTGGCGGCCATCTCGGCTTTTCACCCAGGTGCGAATGGTAGATCTGTCTTTGCTAATCCCATGGTCAGCAGGTTCCTCAAGGGCCTGGACCGTCTCTACCCAAAGGTGCAGCAGCCAGTCCCTACATGGGACCTTAACCTGGTCCTCTCCAGATTATGGGGCCCCAGTTTGAGACGCTGGCCACCTGCTCTCTTTTATACCTCTCTTGGAAAACAGCTTTCCTCATTGCTACCACGTCAGCGAGGCGTGTCTCCGAACTCAAGGCCCTTACCTCGGAACCACCTTACACAATCTTCCATAAGGATAAGGTGCAGCTGCGACCTCACCCAGCTTTTTTTCCATATCAACCAAGATATTTTCCTCCTGGTTTTCTGCCCAAAACCGCATGCCAGTCATCAGGAACAACGTCTGCACTCCCTCGATGTTCGTAGGGCCCTTGCCTTCTACATTGAGCGTACAAAGCTATTCCGAAAAATGACCCAGCTCTTCATCGCGGTGGCAGACCGCATGAAGGGCCTCCCGGTCTCCTCTCAGCAGGTCTCTTCTTGGATCATGTCCTGTATCCATGCTTGCTATGATCTTGCCAGTGTCCTGATCCTGCCTCTTACTGCTCACTCCACAAGAGCTCAGGCTTCGTCGGCAGCTTTCCTGGCCCGAGTACCAATCCAGGAGATCTGCAGAGTTGCTACTTGGTCTTCAGTACATACCTTTGCTTCGCACTATGCCATTGTCTGGCAAGCCAGAGACGATGCGGCATTTGGTAGAGCGGTCCTTCAATCCACATTACTTCACCCCGACCCCACCGCCTAGGTAAGGCTTGGGACTCACCTAATTGGAATGGATATGAGCAAGCACTCGAAGAAGAAAAGACAGTTACTCACATTTGTAACTGTTAGTCTTCAAGATGTGTTGCTGATATCCATTCCAAACCCGCCCCCCTTCCCCTCTGTCAGAATAGCCGGCAAAAAGGAACTGAGGGGGCACTGGGTCGGCTGGGGTATATATCTAGTGCCATGAAGGCACCACTCCACGGGGCTCCAGAGCCGACCCACCGGGTGTTGCTGGGGTAAAAATTCTCTGACGGCCGTGCACGCGGCGCGCACACACCTAATTGGAATGGATATGAGCAACACATCTAGAAGAACAACAGTTACAAAGGTGAGTAACCGTCTTTTCAGGGAGGTCACAGAGCAATGGTGGAATGAATTGAGCTTCTCACTTCCTCACCCTGCCAGACTCTGTAAGCCAGATTCATAAGAACGGCCATACTGGGTCAGACCAAAGGTCCATCTAGCCCAGTGTCCTGTTGTCCAACAGTGGCCACTGCCAGGTGCCCCAGAGGGAATGAACAGAACAGGTAATCATCAAGTGATCTATCCCATCGCCCATTCCCAGCTTCTGGCAAAAATTCCTCCCGTTCATCAGTGGTGTTATGCCAGGGATGATTTTGGCCTAGGGACTTCTCCTTGGATGCATCCTAACCAGGATGCAAAATGAAAGGGGACACTGCCTGAGGCTGAGGTCAGATTGCAGACTCATTGGGATGGAACCTGATCTCAGTTTCACTTGACCGCTGACTTCCAGTGGAGTCATTCCTGATTCACGCTGATCAAAAGATCAGCAAGTCGCTCACCTTTTCCTACTGCTCTTCATTGTCTCTGAATGCTACTGTGCTTACTATACTCTTGTCATTCCTTTCTAGCCTGAAGGGATAAGGATGAACAAAACAATTATGTCTGTGGTACTGGATCCATCTGCAAAAGGAGCAGGTGAGTAGCCAGACTGCTTTGCCTTTACGTGGCGCCTCTCATCCTGAAGGTCTCAAAAAATTCCACAATCTATAGCTAAGTGAGGGTATCTCTGTTTTTGGAGCCCTTGTATCTAACCGAAACCCTTAATCGAATCTGCAGCAAAGTTCCCTGAAAAATTCTACCCTGGCATCCGATCGTTCGTGGGAGATTTCAGAGGGATTGGTTTAGTGTTGGCTGAGATGGAGGTCAAAATCAGGCTCATCACAGAAGACTAGAATCAGCACTATGCAGAGCAATTCTGCTGCCACTGAAATGCAGCCACCTCTGCCTGCCCCGTATTCATAGCTTCCTGATTCCCATCTCAGCTGCCCCCTCCCTCCCTTTGCCCTAGCACATCAGTGGATTGTGCAGGGCTCTCTATGAGCGTTGAAGAGTATTATTCAAGAACCAGCAGCAAAGCTCAGCTGTCTGGATGGATGGCATTTCAGTGTCTCTTCTCCTCGTCCTTCCTTTTCAGGGGGAGTCCAGGAAGTGAAGGTGAAAGCGGCAGATATAGATGACAGGGTTCCAGACACAGAATCGGAGACCAAAGTCAGAATACAAGGCAAGAGCCTCTGATTTGAAAGTGTTTTATGCTTTAGAAACAGAGTGAAGGGAGCAATGAATTCTTCTCTGGTAGCCACACTCGCAGGAGGTGAACCGATTACCCACCTGGTTCTGCTACAACTGTCTACGTGCACTATCGAGCATTAATGGCCAAGATACAGCAAAGTCGTTGTCGGCGTGTGGCTAAACAAGGTGCTCACAGGAGAGACAGGTGCACAGAAATAAGGAGCGCCCAGGGGGCAGCCTATGTCGTTGGACAGGATGCCCTAGTGCAGGGGTCTCAAACACACAGCCTGCGGCCCGCAGAGTTATTTGCTGCAGCCCACCAAGCTCCGCGCGCCCCTCCGCCCTGACCTCCACCAAGTTATTCCCTGCGGCCGCCAAGCTCCCCTTATCCGTGCCGCGCCCCCGCTCCTTTGCCTACCTCCAGCCGCTTCCCGCCGTCAAACAGCTGTTTGTTGCTGGGTTAGGATCCGACCTTCATGGGGTTTGGGTGTGCTCAGCACCATGCAGGATTGAGCTCTCAATCCGCCACTGCCCGCAGAGAGGTCTGTCTGTCTCTCTGTCCCCATCAGCGCCTGCTCTCGGTGCTCGAATTCACGCCGTGTTATTTCCTTGGACAGGAAACCCTGTGACAATCATTGTCGAAAACTCCATCGACGGGGCCAACCTGAAGCACCTCATTGTGACGCCGTCTGGCTGTGGGGAACAGAACATGATCAGCATGACCCCCCCCGTCATCGCCACCATCTACCTGGACAGCACCGAGCAGTGGGAAAGGATTGGGGTGGAACGCAGGGCGGAAGCCATCAAGTTGATCATGCAAGGTAAGTACTTCTCATGCCAGACAGCAAATCCCTCTTCAGGCTCGCGTTAGGGACACAGGAACTGCCCCACAGGACTGGCCCCGAGGTCCATCTAGCCCAGTAGCCTGTCTCGGAGAGTGGCCGGTACCAAATGCTTCAGAAACCTCATGTTAAGCACATTGGGCGATAGATAGAGAGTCCCGGGATCAGGGAGGTAGCCTGGCACTCAGGGGACACCAGTTCAGTTCCCTGCTCTGCCACAGACTCCTGGTGTGATGTTGGACAAGTCACTTAATCTCTCTGTGACTCCATTTCCCCCCTGCAAACGGGGAGAGTCGCAGTGCCCTGCTGCACAGGGGGGTTGTGAGGGTAGACGGCAGGAGCTCCGCAAGCTCCCACCGGCACCTGGATCGTGGCCCTGCTCCCACTCTGCCCTTCCCCACGAAGCCCCTCCGCTTTTCCCCTCCCCCTGTGGGCCACTCACGCTCCACCCCGAGGCCCCACCCCACTAAGCTTCTTCCCCCCAAGGTCTTGCCCTTGCTCCACCTCTTCCCGCCCCCATTCTGCCGCTCACGCCTCTCCGTCCCCTCCTCCCCCGTCACTTACCCATAAGGCAGGAAAAAAGTGGGAGGGGCCATGTCCCCCTGGCCCCCCCATTCCGGCACCCCTGGTAGTTACATTGAGGATTATGAGGAACCCCGGTATTATGGGATGGTCGTGGGGTGGAGGCCATTCACCCACAGTTCAAATCCGTGTCAGGTTGGCACTTGGTAGCGAGGAACGGTAGAGAATCTCATGACCATTGAGAGAACTTGGTAGGTTTCAGCCTAGCTCCTGAAGGAACAGGTGTCCCTTTCCCTACACCCCGGGCCCCTTTGTGGGCCGCCTACATTAGGTGCGGAGTCTGAACTACAAACATCCCATCCATTAAGCTTTTACAATATGGGGAAACTGAGGCAGGCAGTGACTTGCCCAACATCACATCACGCAGTGAGCGACAGAACTGAGAACTGAACCCAGGAGTCCTAACTCACAGCACCTTGCTCCAAACACTAACTCACCCTCCCCTCCCGGAGCCTGGCATAGAACCCAGGCATCCCACCTCCCAGGTCCCCATACACTCTATTCACTTGACCCCGCTCCCACCCTGAAGGGAGGATTTATGCTGGTGAGGAATGGGGCAGTGCCCATGCCAATCGGCTTCCCCACCAGACAGGTTTCTGCCTTTGCTTCCCTTGAGTTGCTGTGCTGTGTTCCTCCTGAGAGATGCCTGCAGAAAGTGGAGAGCCACACAACTCAGACAGCCGCGGCAGGGGTCACAGCTCTGATTTCGTTTGCGTTACGCATGTAAAGTCCTCATTAGACGCTCACCAGACATCGCACAGCTCCTTCTTACTCTCCCTGTTTCAGGTTACACGCAGCAGATGGTTTACAAAAAACCCGACTTCTCATACGCTGCTTTCAAAGACCGGCCATCAAGCACTTGGTGAGGACAGTGGGTTTTCTAATGCACCCTCTTTATCAGCGTTAGCCTGACCCTACACATGCAATATGTGAGCCAGAGCAAGTCAGTCTCCATCCCAAAACCAGAGGGCAAAGGTCAACACATACAATGGGAAAAAAGTACCCAATCCAGCTCCCACAGATGGCAATGGAAAGACGCCCAAAGATGAGACAGGCAACCGGCAGGATTTACAAAAGCACCTAAGCAGAGTAGGGGCTTAATTCCCTTTGAAATGGGAGTTGGGTGCCTAGCTCACTTAGGCATGTCAAGTATGCCTATTTGCATATTTAGGTGCCTAAATACCTTGTAAATGTGGCCCCCAGTGATTTCAGTGACAGTTCAGTGTGGGTGAGTGGATGGCTTGAGGGATTGGTGATGAATAAGGTGAAGATTTAGTCATGGGTATTTTCTGACTGCATCCAGCCGCCCACAGTCCCAAGGCCCCTGGGGACTGCTCTCAGACTGCCCCCAGGTTGGCCCCTGGGCAGGGCCGGCTCCAGGCACCAGCAAAGGAAGCAGGTGCTTGGGGCGGCCAAAAGAAAGTGGTGGCAGGTCCGGGTCTTCGGTGGGAATTCGGCGGCGGCTCCCTCAGTCCCTCTCTTCCTCTTTGAGCTGCCGCTGAAGTGCCACTGAAGAGGAAGAGAGGGAGCGAAGGACCCACTGCCGAATGAAGCGGCACGATTGAGCTGCCGCTGAAGTGCCGCCGATTGGCTTTTTTTCTTTTTTTTTTTTTTTCCGCTTTGCCGCTTGGGGTGGCAGAAAAGCTGGAGCCGGCCCTGCCCCTGAGACTGCTGCTGCTCAGGCAGTCCCCAGGGCCAGCCACACCAGCCGCTGCATCTGTGGAAGTCCTGGAACGTCATGGAATCCATGACTTCCGCGACCTCCATGACAGACTCGCAGCCTTAGTAATGAACTCCAGGTCCTTTCACTTTTAGGTGGTTAGTTTGTAGCTGGCTCAGACTAACCGTTACCATCTTGACGGCTGTTTACTGGCTTGTGTGAAGTTGAGTTTGGTGACTCTCCGGTCCAGTTCCCAGTGGGTAGCTGTCCACAGCGGGCCCCCAACCCCACCATCCTGGTCATACCACTGCACGCAGCAAGAGCTCGGTACATCTCAAGTAGAGCCGGCCGTAATAGGGAGCAGTGTCTGGATGTGCTTTTCCGGACAAGCGGTGACATTTTCCCTAGCTCCTGCTCACTCAGGTTACCATAAACTGGCCCACATGAACCTCACTCCATTTACTGCTGTGAAACGTCTCAACTTTCACACTGAGGGCAATTCAGGGAAGGCAGGAGTGACCGTGATGTGATTGATTCTGCCCTCAGGCTGACGGCCTACTTGGCAAAGGTCTTTGCCATGGCTAAGAAATTGGTGCCCATTGAAAACCAAGTTATCTGCGGAGCAGTGAAATGGCTGATCCTGGAAAAGCAGAAACCGGATGGGGTCTTCCAAGAAGATGCCCCCGTAATCCACGGAGAGATGGTTGTACGTGTTTCCTTTGACTTTTACACACCAATCACTACCCACCTCAGTCATCACAGCAACTTGTTGATTCATAATTCAAAGGGACGTCTTACTGGGCTACATCCCAAAGTCTGTGCTCGTGCAGACTGATCTCCTCTCTCTCTCTCTCTCTCTCTCTCGCATCAGTGGAACAACCCAGTGCAGTTACCTGGGCAGCAGTGAATGGAGATTCAGGCCCAATGGGCCAGATTGTATCTATTTAGTCCTTAGTGAACTTCATGGAGTCTTTGCACTTCTCCCTTGTTGGGGGTAAACTTTCTGCTGGGAGTAGATCATTTTTGGTTTTGTTGTTGTTCGGGGTTTAGGAGTGGAGGGCGGGGTCATTGTTGGAGTTAGGGGTGTCAGGGTTTAGGGCATGTCAGTGTTAGGGTTTATTAGGTAAAAGGGGGTGTCGGTGTTGGGCTTTTGGGGTCTCAGTGTTAGGGTTTAGGAATTGAAGGGGGTGTCAGGGTTTAGCAGAGGTGCTGGAAGTAGGGGTGCATGGGGTGCTGCAACACCCCTTGGCTTGGAGTGGTTTCCATTATATACAGGGTTACAGTTTGGTTCAATGGCTCTTAGCACCCCCACTATAAACATTGTTCCAGCACCCCTGGGGTTTAGAGCTGTCAGTGTCGGGGTTTAGCGCTGCCAGTGTCTGAGTTTAAGGGGTCTCAGGCTTAGGGTAGAAGGGGGTGTCCGTGTCTGGGTTTATTAGATAGAAGGGAGTGGGGTTAGTGCTGTGAGTGTTGTTCTCATGGTGGAAAGACATCTCCAAAGGGGATAGTTTTGCAGCATTTACTAAAGACACTTAGGCTCTGGCCTGGCCTGATCTCCCCTGGGCATTGGTTCCCCAGCCAGCTGCCCTCGACTGAGAATGCCTTGTCCTCACCTCTCATGCACTTCATCCCGGGCTTAGTGATTTGCATTGCCCCAGAGGAGTGCCGCTGTCTTGGTGGTTCACAGGCCAAAGTTTGGTCTTTGATGTCACTGGGGCTTGATCCATTAACGCACGGGAAGCTGCCTGAGAGCTAGACGTGGGACCGGAGCACCGGCCTTGTGAGCTAAATTCTCTCACGCTGGTTTAATACGAAGCATCTTTATTGACTTGGATGGAGTTCTTCCACACTGACAAAGGAGTAACTGAGATCAGAACGTGGCCCATTGCACGACAGGTGTCCATTAGCCCAAGGGAGGTTCAGCAATAGGTCTGGCCACGACTGAGAGTCCATTCTTGGGTAGCTTTCTAGGAAGCATGTGTTCTGCTATAATTTCCTATGCTGAGGGTCTGGGATTAATTCTTTCTTTTCATGGTACTCAGGGGACTTTCTTATCCCAAATCTGTCCCTTGCTCCCCTTTAGGGAGGGTACAAGGGTGCTGAGCCTGATGTTTCTTTAACGGCTTTCGTGCTGATTGCATTGGAAGAGGCCAAGGACATCTGCAAGGATCAAGTCAATGTGAGTATCTCTGCACTGTATATTAACTTCTACGTTGATACCCAGGTTTTCCCATCTTAACATCCCCTATGAACCACGCCCCGTGGCACGTGGAATTTGCTGGGGAAGGAGTTAGTGGCGTTGCCAGATAGTCTTCTCTTCCTCACACACCCGTTGAGGAGCTCAGGTCTCGAATGTCTGGGATGCAGCCTTCGGATTCCCCCAACAATCTCGCAAGAGTCTGCCAGGAAAATGAGAGAAGCTGGGCTTGGATATTTATCGTATGAAAAAAACAAGCAGAGAAAAATGATTTAAAATAACGTAGAGACCATCTTCATACATTGGAAAGAAGCAATGAGTCCTTATTTGGGTTTGGCTTCATCTTGCTATGGTTTAACGGCCTCCGCATCTACAAAAGGAGAGACTATCAGAATACAAGGCTTTCAGGATTACAAGCTGGGCGGGTTTAAGTTTCCTGTTATTATTATAATTATTATTTATAGTGAGGTAACCCCTTGGACTCTCAGTTCAGGACCAGAGATCCCATTGTGCCAGGTGCTGTACAAACACAGAACCAGAAGACAGTCTCTGCCCCAGAGAGTTTGCAATCTAAGCATGCAGGAATATTTAGGGGAACTGAACGTGTCAGGGAATTAGTTACGGGACATTGATGAAGGAACAGAAGTTTGACACCGTGTAGAATTAAGCATGAAGGTTTATTACACACAGTGCTGGAGGAATGTCACTTCGCTTATTAGGCTAAACAATTGATTAAAATAGATCATATAGGGTGCCAATGGGTGGAGAGAAGTGACGGGGTGGGAGTTCCCGAGCCCCTGGCTAGGTACTAGCAGCAAGACAGAATGAGCACAATAAGCCATTAGTCTAAAAGATTACATAATGGCTCAGGTTAACATATTTGCTAATATACAGGTGTTAGTCCTCAAAATTCTTCTTTTGCAATGTGTAAGTTAAATCCTGATTTTTAGATCCATAGAGATGACGGTGGCTCTTTTCAGATAGGTTGGCCCACAGGTACATACCTGGAGGGTTTAAAGCAAAAGAACATTAAACAGTACACAGCCATACACAATTGTGTGTGGTTTACCCTTGCATTTCTGCAAACTAGGATTGGCATCTGTGAGGGAGGATGCATTTGTGAAAGGGAGGATGCCAGAACTCATGCTATCATGTTAGGCCTCTCCCTGAACTCTGGTTGGCATTTGGAGAGAATGTTCCTGAACCAGCGGGCAGACTTTAAAGCTCCTTTCAGTGAGTTGTGTGCCTGCAACGTCTGATATGCCTACCAATTACTGCTTTTCATTTGGAGTTATGCTGACTCAGCTTATCTCATGTCTACTTGAAACAAACAAGGTTGTCTTTAGTTTATTCCAGCATTTTTTTTAGCCATATATTGTTTATTGTTAACTAGGCCACACGCCTCAGACCAAGCTGTGGAATTTGGGGCCTATGTGAAAGATTCTTGCCAGAAACAGTGGTCAAGATCTTACATACATATGATTGGGATTTTGTCCCTTCAATTGATTTACTTATTTAGATTTAAAATCATTTTTAAAAGATGCATATACAATGCTCTAGCACAGGGGTCGGCAAACTATGACCCGTGGGCCGCATCCTGCCCATCAGATCTTTTAATCTGGCCCTCGAGCTCACGCCAGGGAGCGGGGTTAGGGGCTGCTCCGTGTGGCTCCCAGAAGCAGCAGCATGTCCTCACTCCGGCTCCTATGTGTAGGGGCAGCCAGGGGGCTCCGCACACTGGCCCCACTCCAAGCGCCACCCCCACAGCTCCCATTGGCCGGGAACTGAAGCCAATAGGACCTGCAGGGGTGGCGCCTGCAGATGGGGCAGCACGCAGAGCCTGCATCCCAAACCCCTCATCCCCAGCCCCCTCCCAGAGCCCTCACCCCCCCCCCCAGTACCCCAACCCTCTGCCCCAGCCTCCTGTACCCTGAACTCCTCATTTCTGGGCCCACCACAGAGCCCACACCCCCAGCCGGAGCCCTCACCCCATCCCACACCCCAACCCTCAATTTAGTGAGCATTCTTGGCCCACCATACAATTTCCATATCCAGATGTGGCCCTCAGGCCAAAAAGTTTGCCCACCCCTGCTCTAGCACCCTGCCACGTCATTAACCACAGTTACATCCTCCAGAGTTAAAGTGATCATTTCAGTAGGAACTCAGCTGGCCAGACAGCAACCGAACCTCCTTTCTACCCCCTCATCATTAGGAGAAGCAAACCCTCAGCCCTCTCCAAGGACCCTATCAAAGAGGTGTCTTTTGCAACACGCTCAGGTCACCACATTTGAGCTATTTCAGGCCAAGCTGGGGAACAACTTCCAGAGTCTTGGAGCCGTTGTAGAGAACGGCCTGGCAGCTGCCCCCTCTCTTTTATAGTGAAGAGGAGCCAGCTGACTGCAGCTGTAGCAGTACAGCATGAGGAGAGAGGCAATCAGCCAAAGGGTGAAGACAGAGTGGCCTAGTGGGTAGCGCACTGGACTAGGTTTCAGAAGACTTGAATTCTCATCCCACACCTGCTGGGGGACCTCAGGCAAATAACATCCCTGCTCTGTGCCTCAGTTTCCCTTTCTGTAATTTGGAGCTAACAAGACTAACCTCCTTTGTAAAGCGCGTGGAGATCTGCTGAGAAAAAGTGTAATATAAGAGCTTGGTACTGTTAGATCCCGTGCCCTGGTCAAACTGACATGGGGACGACACTACCCTCTCTCATCCCAGGGAGGCTTGCTCAGCCGCTGTTCCATTCGTGGGGCTAAACAGAGGACATCCTCCTCCAGAATTGCCTCCATATTTCTTCTTCAGGCTTGCCAGTCCTACATTTGCTCCATATGCGCTTTGTCCTCGTGTACACTGTCTGTCTACTATTTTCTTGGCCATCCTCTTGTTTTCCGCTAGTAAACGTTACTCTCAAATGCCTCCTTAACAGGATTCCCTCTTCATCCCCTCTTTGTACGTGCCCACCACATCATCACATCCTCCTCTCTTCCAGCTTCTGTCTGATACCACAGACCAGGGCCAGATTTAAGGGCAGGCAATCCAGGCTTGGGGGTGGGGGGGCGCCGCACTCAGGGTGCTGTTTTTGTTGTTAAAGACAAAAGAGAAAATCGAATGTTTGAAGTAAAATGTTTCCGGTATTCCGTATGTGGATTCATTTTTCACTAACCTCCTAGAAGGTTCTAGACCGATAAACTTTGTTTCTATAAGCTTAGAGGAAACCAATTTTTTTTATTTGCTTATATATGGCATGAAAAAATATAGATTTACAGCTCTCAGCATGCAAATTTATCATAAGCACATAACAATGGCCATACTGGGTCAGACCAAAGGTCCATCCAGCCCAGTATCCTGTCTACCGACAGTGGCCAATGCCAGATGCCCCAGAGGGAGTGAACCTAACAGGTAATGATCAAGTGATCTCTCTCCTGCCATCCATCTCCACCCTCTGACAAACAGAGGCTAGGGACACCATTCCTTATCCATCCTGGCTAATAGCCATTAATGGACTTAACCTCCATGAATTTATCTAGTTCCCTTTTATAGTCCTAGCCTTCACAATCTCCTCAGGCAAGGAGTTCCACAGGTTGACTGTGCGCTGTGTGAAGAAGAACTTCCTTTTATTTGTTTTAAATCTGCTGCCCATTAATTTCATTTGGTGGCCCCTAGTTCTTATATTATGGGAACAAGTAAATAACTTTTCCTTATTCACTTTCTCCACATCACTCATGATTTTATATACCTCTATCATATCTCCCCTTAGTCTCCTCTTTTCCAAGCTGAAAAGTCCTAGCCTCTTTAATCTCTCCTCATATGGGACCCTTTCCAAACCCCTAATCATTTTAGTTGCCCTTTTCTGAACTTTTTCTAATGCCAGTATACCTTTTTTGAGATGAAGAGACCACATCTGTATGCAGTATTCAAGATGTGGGTGTACCATCAATTTATATAAGGGCAATAAGATATTCTCCGTCTTATTCTCTATCCTTTTTTAATGATTCCTAACATCCTGTTTGCTTTTTTGACCGCCTCTGCACACTGTGTGAACGTCTTCAGGGAACTATCCACGATGACTCCAAGATCTCTTTCCTGATTAGTTGTATCTAAATTAGCCCCCATCATATTGTATGTATAGTTGGGGTTATTTTTTCCAATGTGCATTACTTTACATTTATCCACATTACATTTCATTTGCCATTTTGTTGCCCAATTACTTTCTGGAAATCTAAGTACACTATGTCCATTGGATCCCCCTTGTCCACATGTTTGTTGACCCCTTCAAAGAACTCTAATAGATTAGGAAGACATGATTTCCCTTTACAGAAACCATGTTAACTGTTGCCCAACAATTTATGTTCTTCTATGTGTCTGACAATTTTATTCTTTACTATTGTTTCAACTAATTTGCCTGGTACTGATGTCAGACTTACTGCTCTGTAATTGCCAGGATTACCTCTAGAGCCCTTTTAAAATAGAATCCTAGAATATCAGGGTTGGAAGGGACCTCAGGAGGTCATCTAGTCCAACCCCCTGCTCAAAGCAGGACCAATCCCCAACTTTTTTTTTGTCCCAGATCCCTAAATGGCCCCCTTAAGGATTTAACTCACAACCCTGGGTTTAGCAGGCTAATGCTCAAACCACTGAGCTATCCTCCCCCCTCATTGTGTTACATTAGCTATCTTCCAGTCGTTGGGTACAGAAGCCGATTTAAAGGACAGGTTACAAACCATAGTTAATAGTTCCGCAATTTCACATTTGAGTTCTTTCAGAAATCTTGGCTGAATGCCATCTGGTCCCAGTGACTTGTTACTGTTAAGTTTATCAATTAATTCCAAAACCTCCTCTAGTCACACTTCAATCTGTGACAATTACTCAGATTTCTCACCTACAAAAGACGGCTTGGGTTTGGGAATCTCCCTAACATCCTCAGCTGTGAAGACTGAAGCAAAGAATTCATTTAGTTTCTCCTCAATGACTTTATTGTCTTTAAGTGCTCCTTTTGTATCTCCATCGTCCAGGGGCCCCATTGGTTGTTTAGCAGGCTTCCTGCTTCTCATGTACTTAAAAAACATTTTATTACCTTTTGAGTTTTTGGCTAGCCATTCTTCAAACTCCTCTTTGGCTTTTCTTATTACATTTTTACACTTAATTTGGCAGTGTTTATGCTCCTTTCTATTTACCTCACTAGGATTTGACTTCCACTTTTTAAAAGATGCTTTTTATCTCTCACTGCATCTTTTACATGGTTGCTAAGCCACGGTGGCTCTTTTTTAGTTTCTTTACTGTGTTTTTTAATTTGGGATACATTTAAGTTGAGCCTCTATTATGGTGTCTTTGCAAAGTGTCCATGCAGCTTGCAGGGATTTCACTCTAGTCACTGTACCTTTTCATTTCTGTTTAACTAACCCCCTCACTTTTGCATAGTTTAGGGTGACCAGATGTCCCGATTTTATAGGGACAGTCCTGATTATTGGGTCTTTTTCTTATGTAGGCTCCTATTACCCCCCACCTCCTGTCCCGATTTTTCACATTTGCTGACTGGTCACCCTAGCATAGTTCCCCTTTCTGAAATTAAATGCCACAGTGTTGGGCTGATGAGGTGTTCTTCCCACCACAGGAATATTAAATTTTATTATATTATGGTCACTATTTCCAAGCAGTCCTGTTATAGTTACCTCTTGGACCAGATACTGGGCTCCACTCAGGACTAAATCAAGAGTTGCCTCTCCCCTTGTGGGTTCCTGTACCAGCTGCTCCAAGAAGCAGTCATTTAAAGTATCGAGAAATTTTGTGTCTGCATTTCGTCCTGAGGTGACATGTACCTAGTCAATATGGGGATAATTGAAATCCCCCACTATTATTGAGTTCTTTATTTTGATAGCCTCTCTAATCTCCCTTAGCATTTCATCGTCACTATCACTGCCCTGGTCAGGTGGTTGATAATAGATCACTTCTGTTATATTCTTATTAGAGCATGGAATTACTATCCATAGAGATTCTTTCATGGAACATGTGGATTCATTTAAGATTTTTACTTCATTTGATTCTACATTTTCTTTCACATATAGTGCCACTCCCCCCCTCCCCCGCAATGATTGTGTCCCATTGATTGTCCTCACTCCACCAGGTTTCTGTGATGCCTATTATATCAATATCCTCCTTTAACACGAGGCACTCTAGTTCACCCATTTTATTATTTAGACTTCTAGCATTTGTGTACAAGCACTTTAAGAACTTGTCACTGTTTATTAGTCTGCCTTTTTCTGATGTGTCAGATTCTTTTTTATGTGAATGTTTCTCATCTGATCTGGCCCCTACTTTATCCTCTTCCATCCTCTCCTCCTGACTAGAACCTAGAGAATCTCTATCAATAGACTCTCCTCTAGGAGAAGTCTCTGTCTGATCCACATGCTCCTCTGCAGCAATCCGCTTTCCCCATCTCTTAGTTTAAAAACTGCTCTGAAACCTTTTTAATGTTTAGTGCCAGCAGTCTGGATCCACTTTGGTTTAGGTGGAGCCCATCCTTCCTGTATAGGCTCCCCTATCCCAAAAGTCTCCCCAGTTCCTAATAAATCTAAACCCCTCCTCTCTACACCATCGTCTCATCCACGCATTGAGACTCTGAAGCTCTGCCTGCCTACCTGGCCCTGCGCGTGGATCTGGGAGCATTTCTGAGAATGCCACCATAGAGGTCCTGGATTTCAGTCTCTTTCCTAGCAGCCTAAATTTGGCCTCCAGGACATCTCTCCTACCCTTCCCTATGTCATTGGTACCTACATGTACCACGACCACCAGCTCCTCCCCAGCACTATACATAAGTCTATCTAGATGCCTCGAGAGATCCGCAACCTTCGCACCAGGCAGGCAGGTCACCATACAGTTCTCCCGGTGATCACAAACCCAGCTATCTATGTTTCTAATGATCAAATCTCCCATTACTAACACCTGCCTTTTCCTATGACTGGAGTTCCCTCCCCCGGAGAGGTAACCTCAGTGTGAGAGGATACCCCAACATCATCTGGAAGGAGGGTCCCAACTATGGGAAGGTTTCCCTCTGCTCCTGTTGACTGCTCTCCTTCCCTGAGCCTTTCATCCTCCTTAACGGCACAGAGGCTGTCTGACCAAAGGTGGGACAAATCTACAGTGTCCTGGAAAGCCTGAATAACATACCTCTCTGCCTCCCTTAGCTCCTCCAGTTCCGCCGTCCTGGCCTCTAAAGCCCGTACGTGGTCTCTAAGGGCCAGGAGCTCCTTGCAGCAAATGCACACATATGCCACCCACCCACAGGGCAGGTAATCATACATGCTACACTGAGCGCAATAAACAGGATAGCCCCCACGCAGTTGCTGGGCTTCTGCCTCCATTCTCATCTACAGCTACCTAGGTTAATGATAGGGTTTTTGTTTAAATCAAGAAGTTTTGATTATAGTTTAGTTTACAGGTTTTAAAGAATGGCAAGTGTATCTTGCCACCTTCCCAACTCCCTCTTGAAACTCCCTGTTAGCAGTCCCTGTTTCGCAAAGTTCCCTGGTCGCTTGCTCACTGCTTTATAAAGCCCTGGCCTCCTTGATAGCCCCGCCTCCGACTAAGGCTCAGCCAATGAACAGAGGCTTCTAGATTTCAAACCTTGTTTAGAAGCTCACAGCTTCCAACTGCCAGCCACAGCACATGGTCCTTCAAACAGACAAACACAAGCTCAGCACACAGCAAGTAACCCCCAAACACAAACACACACTACAGACAGCCACTTACCCCAAGGGTCCCGTATTTGCTCCTCCTTCATCTTATACGACAGGGATAAATCATGCATATGAATCATGCATCAAAGTGGTGAAATGGGCTACAAATGCAAGAAAAAATAAGGTATTCAAAAATTTAACAAATAGAGCGAGGGACGCCAAAGATGCTCTGGGGCGCCATTTGGGCTAGGGCTGGCCCTGCTACAGACTTTGGGCTCACTCCTGATGACATTCTGCATGTGGTCCAGAAATGTCCCCTTTCGCTGCCCTCAAATATCTCACTTCCATGTCTTCCTGCCTCCTCTGTCTTTCACCACTGTGAAATTAAATAAAGCTGGAAGCCACATAAATTCGTAATGAATTAATGTAACCCACACACCTCCTGGGTGTGGTGTCTGTCCCATCTAGTGGCACTGAGACCAGGTAAAGAGAGATTAATGAGTCTGCTCTAGAGCCTTTGGGCTTTTAGTTCAGTAAAGGCTCATGCATTTAGCTCCACAGGTCCCAAGTTCAATCCTGCCCTCCGACATTAACACCACCCGAAACCTCAGCCTAACCCACGAGTTTGATTTTCTTTTGTTTTCCTTGTCACTTCGTAGAGTTTGGAAGGCAGCATCAGCAAAGCCGCTGACTACTTAGCTGAAAGGTACCAGTCTCTAACCAGACCTTACACTGTGGCTCTTGCGTCCTATGCCTTAGCGATGGTGGGGACACTGAACACCGAGAAGGCGCTCATGAGAGCCTCGACAGGTAAATCAGGACATTTTATCAACTACTGGAAAGATGTGGCCAAGTCAGGATGGGGGTCAGGGAAGAGAAGCAAAGGAGGTTGAAGAGGGATTAATTTATGAGGAATGAATAACAGGCATAGATTTGTTCCTTTTGGCCAGATTTGAGATTGATCAGTCTGGGTGTAAATCCAGAGTAACTCTCCTGGGCTGAGTGGAGTTACTCCAGATTTACACCAATGTGTCTGAGATCTGGATGTGGCAGAGATATATGGTATTACTTGACCTCAGGAGGAATCGGAGAGCCCTGTACGTATATCTAAAGGATGTAAACCCCAAAGAGAAAGAGAGAGAAAAGGGTGGGTCAGGAGGATGTAACTGGATGAAACTGAACAAAGGAGAATTTCAGAGGATAGAGAATAATATTACCCGCAAGGAAAATGGAGTTTGCCCCATTGGGATAGTTAAAACAGGGCAGGACAAAGCTGTTGTCTAGATATAACAATGTTATGTTATGTTGAAAGGTGCCGGGTGGGTCTTTGATCCCAAAACGGTCACAGACCTTGGCCATGTCTACAATGCAGGGACTAGAGTGGCACAGCTATTGTAGA